TCAGGATCAGTATATAAGGAACTTGTCACAGGTGCTTTCAGGGGTACTTTTGTATTTTCCCTGATGTATTCTATGGATACTCGTATAGCTGGATAGCTGCATTGCACTGAACTACTGTGGTGAGCCTACATTGTGTTTAATACAGCCTCAGCAATAGGATTTTGCTGAATGTAATTTACAGCTGGTATAAGGCTTGTTTGTACAACTTTTCAAGTATTTTCAGGAGTGTGACACGTGGCTGTGGTCCAAGTATATATATTGTCCTCCAATGGTGTTGCAGATCTTAGTGGCTAAGCAAAGACAAATATCAATGTGTCCTCACTTGTATGAACTGTTCTTACTGATGCATGAGGTGTCACTATTTGGTGAGATATCAAGGGCAACATTGTCTTTTCATTAAGGGAATGTCAAAATTGTTCTTATGCAATCATTGGTTGAAAGGTGATAACATTGAATTAAGAGAGGTGCAGTCAAGCATTTACACTGAAATATATATATGTTGTTATAGGTGTCTTCTAGGGTTAATGGCCTTTCATAGAGACTAAAAGCAAGTTGCAGAAGATAACTCTCGAGCTCCTTTTCATTGAACAAAGTCTTTCTATGATTTGTAATGATGATTTATGCTAGAAAAACCCACTCACTCAAGCCTTGTGTGTGATCAATGTGCTAAGATGCTGCTGCTGTCCAAATTGCTGAAGAAAGGGCTGGATTGAGTAGTGAATCTGAGTTCCAAGCTGCTGTGGTCATTTCTGAGGGTTGTCATAGGTATAACTATGCTATTTACACTTGCTCAGTAGTTTGCATTGAACTGAAACATGCTGAAATGGATTTTGAGCTCTTAGATCAGTAGATAGGCCTGTTTTTCTACATATATTGTGATTCAAGTGCAAAATGATTAAGTCTAGCTATTCTATGGATTATCTATGTGCGAGCAAGTCTATTTTGATGAATCAAAGCTGTAGAAATTGGCTGTGGTGCAAAACATTGACAGATTGTGATTGTGACCTTGCAAAACCTCTCAAACTGTGTTGAGCTAAGCTTATTTAAGAACTGTGGTAGTGCATTGATATATACTCATGCTATACTGAATTGCTTAAGGATGTTAACATAAGTACTGCAGTGAATTAAGACTGTGGAAGCTACTGATGAACTATTCTCGATGAAAAATTCCAATTTTACCCCTCATATTCTAGCTGCAGCAGTTTAGTGATTTTGAGGCAGTAACTTGGTATTTTGTGTTGTTCAAGCTGTTTCAATTGTAGAAGGAATTTGATTATCTTGTTTATCATTTGTAATGATGTATATGGTGAGCTATATGAGCTTTGTTGGTCCAAGCAAGGGTGCTTAGGACAGAGGGAGTGTGTGTGTGCACTGAAATCAGCTAGTGTGTGTATTAGTTGTGAAAGTTAGTGTCCATTCTTGTGCTTAGGTGTGTGCAGAGCGTAAGACAGCTGAGTGTGTAACAACGTACATACAGCTAGTAGTGATCTTCATTGGCCATGGCCAAGAACCAAGGTTTTCCCTAGTTGAAAGGGTTTCCTTGTAAATCCTGTTTTAAGTACTTATTGTTTGCTTGCTGAATTATCTTATTGATTCTGTTGGGAAGAGAATAACCAATTCAGCCCCCCTCTTGGTTCATTAAAAACAAATTTCCAATGCTTAGAATTAATTACATTAAAAAGAAGGACAAAATGAGCAAAATAGGTGCACTTCGGTCGACCGAAGTGCAGCTTCGGTCGGCCGAAGCAACTCCCATGAACCGGTCGACCGAAACAAGCATTTCGGTCAACCGAAATGAAACCTTAATAGCCACTGAAGTCTCTGGACGAACCGGTCTACCGAAGCAGGCATTTCGGTCTACCGAAATGGCTCTGCATGCTACCCCAGCTATTGGAAATGCTGAAAATCCTGAAAATGAAAAATGTTTTATGGAAAACTTCGCAAATTTGTTTCAAACTTGTTCTAAAAATATCCCAAGTGGTAAACTACATATCATGGTCATGATCCTCAACATTTTATATACAAGGCAACTCCATCAACCATTCAAATATATATATATATATATATATATATATATAATGCATTGTTTTTACACTCTTGTTCAAATATCCGACAAATTAGAGTCAAGTTCATAGGTAAATTACAAGGCCAAAGCAGCTAACTTAATTGCACTTCCACAATAAGGCTTTTACAAAAGAATGACCTAATTACAAAAGATAGCAAAAGAAATGAACTCCAAGTCCTCCTCAAACTTGTGAAGGATTATCATCGGCCACTTCCTTTCTATGACCTGAAAATGTTAAATATAAAGGGGTGAGTAATTTGCTCAATAGGTGGTGCCAAAGACACACCTCTTGTTACCCCGTAAATCCAAATAATGAATAGGAATAGAGGATAGGGGTCATGCTATGCCGGGAAGGAATACAACATCAATTCTAAATTCAAAGTAAATAATGATGTGCCATGAAATGCAATGCCATGTATGTCGTTCCCTATTTTCAAAATCCAAATCCATCATTTTTCAAACTGTTAATATAATCCGTCCTTCGATGACTCCGCAGCGACACAAGAGAATGATTGGCTACTATCCCTGACCCTTGGTACCCCCGCGGTGTCATTTGGGGCCCAGCTAGCTCAACCACACTAGATTAATTTCCCTACTTCCCTCTAGGTTATATTAACACCACGGCCCTTTGGTGACTCCGCGGCGACCGGGTTTTCTCAAAACCATTTCATCAAAATTCTTCCCAAAAATCATTTTTTCTTTTATTTCAAATCATTTCCCTTCATTCATACCCAATGAAATGCATACATGTCTCATACTTTCAATGCTATGATAATAAGGGATTTTCATACAATACAATTAAGCATGCTTTACAAGAAATTCTAAGAAAATTACACATGTTCCTATACATCATTTCTAACAAGTTAACAACACAATAGGCATAGAAATTTAATACTTAGGCATGTTTTTCATATAAATCAACTAATACGTATAATTATGGACTTTGTACACAACAATTAAATCATTATAGGGGAAAGTAACACCAATTAACATGTTAACAACAATTAATAAGAAATTAATTCACAAAGGTACAAGAAAAACATGATTTAGAGACCCCTACCTCAAGGAGGATAAAAAAACTCCCAAAATGGGTCTCAAAACCGGAATCCCTAGAGTGCACTAAAACTGAAATTGCTTATATAGAAGTGAAGATTTCACCGTGCTCCTTGAATTGCCGCAAACAGCTTCGAAACATATCAAGTATTAAAATCCCATACAAAAATTTCAATTTTGCCCAATTTTAGAAAAAAAAAAAAAAAAAAAAAAAAAAAAAACCTTATTGAAATAATGTTATAGTAAATTTGTACTTTCACATCTTGCGGGATGAGAGTTTAAATATCTTAGAAATCACTCCTAAAGAATTTCGTTGGTACATGTATAAAATAGAGCAGGTTTAACTTAACACTAAATTTAAAAGTTTGGATTTTAATTTTGAATTCAAAATAAAAAATAAAAAATTGGGTGGATATTCTTTGAAAGATATCCAAAATTCAACCTGATTCATTCATATAGGAGTATATTTTATCATTTAAAAAATTATATGGGTTGAATATAAATCCTATCTACAGGATTTAATTTGAATGCAATAAAATATAAAAAGGTTAAGTACAATTTTTTTTTTCTTCTAAAATATAGGTTTTGTACACAAATAGTTTCTCTTTTTTGAAAATGTATATTTGAGTTTATAAAATTCAAAAATCCTCTGGCAACTTTTTAGTCAAAATTAAAATAAAATAAATTTTAAAACCCTAATTTACCATTCCTTCCTATTATGCCCTTTTTTGAGGGCTCCCGGTCGCCACATCAGTGCCACAACCATTGTTGGTGGCGGCTCCACCACTATAGTCACCGCACCCAGAGCCGCCACCACCACCCCCACACCCAATACAATAAAAAAAATGTTCAGCTCCTACTCTTCTATTTCAATATGGTGCTCACTCTCATCATCAAACCCAACTCTCTCTCTCTTTCCCTCTCTTCATCTCCATTTCTTGCCCCAAAAACCAGTTGCATTTCTATTTATCCAAAAAAAAAAAAAAGGGAGAGAGTGTGAAACTGGGTTTGAACCCAACAGTCCCTCCGGTGATACACGACGTCGGCGAGCAAGGATTCTGATTGGCAGCGATGCAGGACGGAAAGGCGGTGCTCTGATCTTATCGGCGTTCCTCACTGAGCTCCTCCTTATTCGCTGGAAGCTCACTGTAACAGGCACTTTCTCATAGGAAATCTTGACCCGGTTCCTCGTCGTCCTCCGCCGTAGATCGACGTCATGAAGAGACAGTTCCCGTCTGCCTTCATCGTCCTCATCACTGCCGAACTGCTTGCATCGCCGTTTCTTACCACCACCATGCCGTACCCAGAATCGAATCACCATCACCACCAACGATGCCTCCATCAACCCGATCTCACCTCCGACGCCTTCAGAGCACTATGCCGTCGTCACTGCACTGTCGCAGTTCATTGATTCACTAACTCACTGAATCAGGTTAGCAGTCCAAGCCGTGCAAGAAAAGGGTTTGAGATTTGATTTGCGGAGGGAAATAAAGTAGCGAAAAATCCATCTAACGGATGATCCATCGGGGTATGGTACTTCCTACGAGAAATAAAGCGGCGAAAAATCCTCCATTTCAAAAAGAAAAAAAGTACACCTTTCTCTCGCGATACTACTTACATACAGAGCCAAAGAACATGAAGGAATGCTCCTATTCCCATACCTTCTAGCTTGCCTTTCTTCCCATCCTTTCATATCAAAGGGCTCATAAAATTAAAATACATTTAAACCTCAATGCCAGCCAGTGGGAGACATCTGAAAGGCCCCAAGGGTGGGTGGGTAGGACTACAGATTCCAACTAAAAAACTTCCCACACAAATACAACATTTAACCATTGAATTCTACAATAAGTCATCAAGAATCCCAGTGGAAGAAACACACAGATTGAACAATTAGTAATTTCTATTAATTAATATGGTCTTTTTTTTTTCCCCCACATATTTGATAAATTTCAACAATCAAAAAATAAACTGATGATTCGCTTCAAAGGACAGAGAATATCAAAAAAGCCTAAAGTAGCACAAGTAAAGAAAGCTTAAAAATGTGATTGATTTAGAAAATGAGTTCCACTTTCAACTGCAACAACCCCCTGCTTGAGAAGCAGACCCATCTCTACCTCCTGCTGGCCCTGGGATGCCCCCATATCCAACTTTTATCCCGTAAGACTGCAAAAACCAAAACGAAAAAAAAAAAAAAAGAAAAAAAAGAAAAGAAAAGAAAAAAAGGCTTAATTTTTAAGCACAAGCACTGCAAATCCTACCTATCAACCAATCAAAATAGCTGTTCAAAAAGTAACTAACAGGACAAAAGTTTCACTTCATGTTGCCAAAATTACTCACCACATCTCCCATGCAACTAGACGAGTAATCCGAAACTGAACTTTTCGTGTTCAAAAACAGGACAGTTTATGAGACAATGGTTTCACCCATGTCCCCTCTCAGCATTACAGTGGATGCCACTTAACAACTGAAATATTTGTCTCACTAAAACTAGATAAGGAGAAAAGGGTAACCAGAAGTTATAGTTTTAATAGGTGAACCTCAATGTGATTGATCTTACGCAGTTGCTAATTTATGCTATGATCATACATTCCAAGGCCTCATGAATATATATGTTCAAGACTTCAAGATTGAATTACCACTGAAACACCTTAATCAATTAAACCTTTTTTGGCCCACCTCACATTGAACTATCCAAATACCAGCAGAAAAAGAGAGAAAATAAATCCAAGGCATACCTCGTTTGATACGTCAAAAACTCCATCCTGAATTTTCTTATAGATTGTTGAAGCTGTGTTTATAAATGCCTGCAAAAGCAAAAGAAAAAGGAAAGACGGGGAGAGTGTCAGAAAGAAAAAAAGAAATATAATTTTTCTTTTTGATAAGTGGAAAACAAAGAAATATAATAGTAAAGAAGCTTCAGTTGGTAACATTTTAAAACATCTGTTAGCAAATTCATCACCTCCTCAACATTCTGAGCAGTTTTTGCAGATGCCTCCATGAATATTAAACCGTGTTCCTTGGCAAACTGCTCTCCTTCCTCTGTGCTTACGGCCCTTCTGTGAGCAAGATCGCACTTGTTGCCAATAAGCATAATAGTCATGTTGGCATTTGCATGTTGCCTTGCATCCTCCAACCAGCTAACAAGGTGATTAAAAGTTTCCCTCCTAAGAATTAGAACCATTAAAAATGTACTTTATTACAACCAGAGAGGCAGAGCCAAATCCCAACTACACCAAGCCAGTGAGACCAGCCCAAACAGTCAACCCAATCCATAGTTATCTAAATCTTCAATTGAAGTGTGTATATAATTAAAAATTGGCCATGCAATAATAAATGAAAACACACACACACAGCCAGAATATATTAGATAATTCTGCACAGTGGTATGCTAATTCATCCTCTCTCCAGACGAGCAAATAGTTGACGACTAGAATGGCTTCTGTAAATTTGTAAATCATTTTGTCATTTCAGTCAAAAAACTCAACATAATGAAGTGCCTATTATTTGTTCTGACTTGTATCATTGTGTGAGTTTTTCTTATGAAATTATTATCTTGTTTTGGCTGTACTTTCCATGAAGAATATATCAACTATATGGCTCAACATAACTCCCAGCTCATTCATTATTGTTTAAAAATGCTCATTCCCTGTAAACACATTGGCAATTGAGTCTCCTCATAATGCACATTCTTCAAAACCTTTAGGATGATAATTATTAATTTTTCTTCTTAAAGATATAATGATGATAATGTTACTAAGAAAGAGACGCATCATAAGACAATGTACTGATACAGCCTCTTTTGTGGAAGGCAGTTAGGTTGGACAAATATAAAAATATAGCATAGAAGTCACTGAAAACAAATAATCCAAGAAATATTTTAGAATATTGTGAACAGCAAATGATCAATTTCCTTCTTTCAGTAGCATGACTAATGACAACTAAAGATGCAGAAGAACATACTCACAACTATATATGCAAGACTTTTTCCTAGTTTACATGCATTAAACGAGAGAATGACTTCTTTAGTTTATAAAAGAAAATGGCTTCATTAACTGTTAAAGATTCAAATAAGAATAATACCTAGTGATATCATAAACTAACAGTGCACCAGCAGCACCTCTGTAGTAGGACCTCGTAATAGACCTGAATGATTCTTGACCCGCCTGACATAGCAATGAAATGATGAAATATAAATGTGCATGAATGTAATATAAGTCAAATAAGGAAACAAAAAAAGAATAGAATAAACCAACCGTGTCCCATATTTGCAGCTTTATTGGTTTGTTATCAATTGTGATCATTCTGGCCCCAAATTCAACACCGATGGTTAAGTCGTGCACGGGCTGAAACCGTTTGTCAGTGAACTGCAGAAGAATACATGATTTTCCTACTCCTGTGTAACAAAGGATCAAACACACATGAGTTTCAAAAATTCTTCCATCATTCATTACTGCAACAAAAACATTCATCTCGTAGTTTAATATAAGTGGGAGTCATAATTTGTAAAGATCTAATATGAGATAATGGCCACAAGTCCACTACCATCATGATCATTATTCCTTATAAAGCGAAAGAGACTAATTCAATCAACTTCCAATATACTAAATTTTATACCACTGGAGGACATTTAAGGAGTGAAACTTCACCAAATATTGGGGAAAACAAAATGCTTCACCTTTACCTATTGCCTTCTAAAATTATTTATGTACAACACATGTCCACTGGAACCCTCCCGATTAAGAGACTAATGAATTTCCTTGGCCAGGGCGAAAGTTAGAAAAATAATTGAATCTTTTGATTGTATATAGTCCAAACTAAGTAATACCATGAAGCTATCTTACAAAGTAAAGTTACTTCCTACTCTTTACAAACCTTTTCCTATACCTTGTGAAGTTAAATCTTGGAAAGACAATAGACGAGGAGTGTCGCTAACCCATTTAGTAGCTTGAGTGGTATCTCCCACCACCCTAAAGGGTCAAGTCCTGGTTGGGATATGGGCGATACATATGTAAGATCCATCTCTTACAATGCAACACAGTTATATCACAAAATGCAACACCCATGCAACAACTTTAAATAAAGTTATGAAACACATTTATATTGAATATACAACACCTGTGCAACATATTACATCGTGTTGCAACATTATAATACCATTAAATCGAGAATTCAACACATTTACGCAGTTGTTTGATTTTCAATTCAAAGTTGTCGCAATCACAATTTAAAGTTGTCGCAATGAACACAGGAGAGGATCCTAGTGTGTACACGACATCTTTAGGTAACAACTTTATGAACATAGCTAAAAGATAAGTAAAACTTAGTATCGTAAATGCTTCCTTTGGGAAACTTATCTTATCCTTTTACCAACCTTCTTTCATATGCAATAATGGCACAATTTTGGTCTTTACACACACTATGCAGAAACATAATATATAATATATAGTTATCATTGCAAAGAAAACAATGAAAAAAGGTTACCAACTTGACTCAATATAACAAAACTTGCACACAATACAACACACTAATATTGTAATATTACCAATTATATATATATATATATATATATATGTTAAATGTAACAATTGTTGCCGTGGGCCCCACAGGGGCTTTAGTCATTATAATGACCAAGGGGTCATTACCAGACCCAATTTTCTTTCTCTCTCTACGCGGCTGTCTTCTCTCCTCCTCTGCTTCTTATTTTTCTTTTTCATTTCACAATTTCAAGCTTTAATTACTCACTCATCTTTTGGAGATTTTTGGTGTCGTTTGCGGCAAAACGAAGAGCTTGTCGAGATCTACGCATGGGTGTAAGCAATTTATAATTTGGTACACCCTAAGAAATTCGAAATCTAGGGTTCAAATTGGGGGTTTTCATCAAATTGAGGTAGGGGTGTTCTAATACCTATTTCTTTGAGCTTTGTGAATTAATCTCCTTTAATTGATGCACAAACATGCTTATATTGTGTTAAATTCTTGAGATATAATTTATATATTGTATACATGATTTTTTTTGTGTTGTAGAAAGTGTGTGATTATGTGATAGCCGCCTTGTTGAGATGATACATGCTTAAATGATGTTAATTTAAGCCTTATGTATTTAAGTTGTTGAATTTGCAAATTGAAAGTATGTAAAATGCCATGAATTAGAAATACGAGAATGTGATATTGTGTGAAAATTCATATTTTAAACATCTCTAAATGATGTGAATGATATGTATGAAATTGTATATTGTCATAGCATTGAAGGAATTGCATAATTCATACATTACCATTGGGAAAGTAAAGGGAAAAGTTTATATACAAAAAATAAATAAATGAAATTATTTTTGGGAAAATATTTTTAAAGGTGTTTGCGAAAACCGGACGCCTAGGAGGAACCTAGTGGTCCGTGTTGTTAGTGTAGTCTAGAAGGGAGTATGGTTGAGCTAACTAGGCCGGATGCGACGCCTTGGAGGTGCCTTGTGGTCATGGATAATTAGTCAACCCTCCATTCGTGACGCCTTGGAGGTGCCTTGGGTCGGATTGCACTAACGGTTTGGAAGTTGAAACGGTATTGTTTCGGAAATGGGGAGCGACATTGCATGGCATGGCACTGTGTTGGCATATATTGTATATTTGGTGGTTAGACGACTTGCGTATGTATTTGTTGATATCACCGTTGTTTTACTTGTTTTCCCCGAGGCATGATCCCATTTACTTGTATTCTATTCCTTGTATGGATTCACAGGGTCGAAAGAGGTGTGTCTTAGACACTTCCTACTGAGCGGTTGGCTCACCCCATTTTATTATTAACATTTTTCAGGATACGGAAGGGAAGTGGCGGACGACGCTCCTCCACAATTTTTTTTTGATGGGTTAGTGGACTGTTTTGACATATTTTGTAGCTATGATCCCATTATCATTATCATTATTATTATTATTATTATGTATTGATATAGGAAATAACGATAGTGCCCTTAGTTGACCTCGGGTTTGGGTAAAGACCCGGTTAGCGATTCGGACCCTCGGGTTCGGGTCGTTACAAATTTGGTTCAAAAACCATTAGGACGACGGGTAGAGGCCTACCTAGGGTTGTGTGGGAGGTCATTTGCATTATTTATGTGACTATTTGCTAAAGTGTTTTGTTATTTGAAAAGGATGCTTAACTGTCTACTTGTTTATATGTTTATGTGTTTACGGTTTTGAAAGACATGCTTCCTTACTATGTGTTTGCACGTTTATATGTTTATATGCTAAAGTTTATATTACATAGCTGAACAATTAGACAATATAACCGTGTAAATGAAATGTGAAAGAAAAGAAAAGCATGTTGATTGTGTATGAGAATTGTGGTGACGAAAAGTGGTAGGCACGGTGTGTGCAGCTCTAATTTAAATATTAATGTGACGAGTAATGAGCACGGTATTGTGATGGTTATTAGGCATGGTTATGTAAGTATTTTAAAATGAATAAATAAATTTAAATGATGGGGTATGATTGTATCATGGTATGGGATACGGTTATTATACATATATGTATACATGTATAGGAATATGCAGTTGAGCATGGATGGTTGTGTAAGTTTTGACTTGAGTAGACGCGGGGTTCGGTTGCTCCAGGGTTGTTTGGGTGCCGGTTCTTGTCGAATTAATGGCGTGGGCTTCTAGCTTGTGAATTGAGCTATTTGGCATGTAGTCAACCTGATCTTTTAAGTTGCATTTTGTGCGGTGCTTAGAGCACGACTTTAGAGCGTGTTCATATTTCATGGCATGATGCCTTTGTTGTGTGTGAGTTTCATGCATTGGTGAATGGGTTCTGGTGACCGTGGAAGTGAGAGTTTCAGTATGACCTTAGGAGGTCAGTGTTTATGACTTAGGTTACGATTTAGTGTAGTGGTTCTTTACGAATCGGTCGTGGTAGGTGTGATAGCGGTTGTTAGAGTCACGAGTGTGGTTTAGGGGTCGTAGATGTGTATTTCGAGTATTCTGGTATGGTCTAAGGAACCATGTTGGTTATGGTGGTTAAGGGGACTTGTTGGACTCTATGAGTCTAGGGTGACGTAGGCATTTACTGGAGTCATGCTAGTACCAGGTGACCGACCGTTTGATGTGATTCAGTTCGTGGGTTGTGAGAATCTATTTTAGAGACTGGTTTATCGAGGAGTGATTCCTATTTTGATAGCTACGGGAGTGTGTTGCAGGTAATCGACTCTCGGTGAGTTGATTGCATTGCTTAGTTGATGAGCGAGGTTGTAGGTTGTCACGGTTGTCGAGAAGGTCTTGAGGTGAGGTATAATGGTCAGTTTTAGTTGTGTAGTATAGGATTGCACGATAAGGTAAGTAGTATGTGGTCATTGGTACGTTTAGTTGTTGTGAATGAAGTGATTGATCGTAGGCATTGTGTTACTAAATGGATTGTGTTTTAAAATTTGAAAGCTGTGGACTGGAGTTGAATTTCATGTTGCGTTTGGGGTAGGAGGAGTTAGTGCTTGGTGTTTAAGGAATTCAAAGAGATAGACTAATGATTAGAATGTTTGGGACGAGGGTGACCTCGTAGGTTTAGCTGGTAGCCCCATTTGATTTTTGTCAGGGTCAAGGGTGTTTTGAGGAACGGTAAAGAATGAGTGTGATGGTGTTGGCGCTAGGGCGTAAGGCTTCTTTGACTGAGTGTGTAGGGTGTCTTGGGAAGAATGGTTGGGGTATCCGATCAAGCGTTGTGATTGATTACATTGTAGATGGTTTTAAGGAGATAGTTGGGTATTGAGCATTCTGGTTTTTGTGCTCATTTTTCCTTGGAGATGTGTTTGCATGGCATTGCCATATAGAGGTTCTTTTCTAGTAGTAAGTAGTGGTTACCATGGAGAGTATCGAGAGTAATGCTCATTTTCTTGTTATGATGGTGTTATCTTAAGGATATTTGAGGAAGAATTGCTTGGTGGTGGCTTGATGGTCTGGCGGGATGATAAGTTTGAACCGTTGTTTGGGATGAGTGGCAATAAAGGGGTTATAGTGTGATGTTTAATGCTGACGAACGGACAGTTTAAGGTATAATCCAATGATGGATTACAAATTGTGAGTTGTTTGCTGTGTGTTGTCAGGTAGGTGATGGGGTTGTGCACCTATCGAGGCGATTGTGGACTGCTTAATCTTTAGAGCTAATGAGGACGATGTTGCTAGATAGGCACCTTTTTCTTTTGATGAGTCAGTAGGTTGCTGGACGGTGATCGAGGTAGTATCATCTAGGAAGGTAGAAATGGAATGGGTGGCAAATGTCATTTTATAGCATAGGGGTTGTCATTTGGGAGTGACGGGATGTGGTGTCCGATGAGTTGTGATCGTTTCCAGTGTTGGTATGTTGTAAGCATTGATGCTCTTGTCTGATGGTTGTGTTATGAGTTGTATCTTAGTACTCGATGAATGGGTGGTAAGGATCTAATTGGTATTGGTTAGCATAGGCGTTGCGGGGTATCGTATGCGAGGTTTCTGTGTTGATAGTATATGACGGTCTGTCAGTGGCGGGGTCGCCTAAAATTGAGTTCGTAGTTCCGTACGGATATCCATTTGGTTCTTCTATTTGTGTGTAAGGAGTTTACTTCATCCCAGGTGAGATTGGGTGTCCATGGTTGGAATGTTGGTGTGTAGCATGTGACAAGGTGTCGGATGCATTCAAGTACGAGTCGTTAGTCTCTTGTGAGAGCAAGGTTTGTTACCCTTTCCATTTGTTCTAGTCCTGGCAAGGACGTCGTTTGTCGTGAGTCTTGTTTTCCATTTAGGAGTGGCGTGCGTCCTTAGATGGACGAACTCGTGTGTGGTTTTTTGTGCTGTTAGAGTTCGTCGGTAGAAGTCCTGGTTGGAGGGGTCGACTCACTTCCACAGAGGGAGGTGCAGTCTTTGGGTTTTGTAGTGCTTGTTCTGAGAGTGGTCTTAACCAGTAGTGTGTGAGGTACGAGTTACCGAATGGAGATTGTAAGTTTTCGGAGTCTAGTACTAGCGGTGATGGCTAAGGGATGCGCCGTGAATTTGGAGTTCGAGGATGATTAAGTGAACGTTTGCCATGTACTCGGATGTTGCTATAGGCGTTTGATCTGAGCAGTGTATTGCGGATAAGTGTTGATGTTACCTTAGAATTTTGTGATTAGAGAAAACGAATGTGTGATTCTATTGAGGAATAACAGGAATGATTGACTTTGGTATTGAAATCTCAGGTATGAAATAGTCGCATTATGTGTTTTGAAGAGATAGGAGTTGAACCAAGTTATGACATGGAGTTGTTTACCTGGTGTGGGTGTTATGAGGAGATTAGAGGTCTTTTATGCTGGTCGGTGATTGTGACGTTTGGTGCTATGTTGTTTCCTATTTGTTATGGGTTACGTGATTGAGGTATGATCGATTTTAAAGCTGGTATGTGACTGTATAGTTGTTGAGGTTATGTAGAGTGATGGATTGATAGTGAGTGGATTTTATTGTTGTTTTGTAGACTGTGTGAAACTGTAATTGAGGTTTGGACTTGAGGACAAGAACGACGTCTGTGTTGAGATCGGATCGAGGATGAGAATGGCCTGGCCAACCATTTCTCCTGAGTCAGTCCGTCTTTAGCACAATGTCGGGTCAAAAGTCCATGATTGTTTTCGTTTGTCAGGAATAATGAAAGCACGGAATTGCGGGTTGTGTCAGTGTGACAGTATGGATTCAGGTGGTTGTCTCGGGTAACGAGGTGTGCTAGGTGAGACCAAGTGTCCGATAACGGGTTTGTGGTACAATCATCGATTATTGAGAATCTCGTTTTGAGGATTTGTGTCCAGGATTCAGGATAGTACGTTTTATTGTTTTGGTGACTCATGATTATGTAGTCGTTGGGAAATCTATTGTTTTGTCTTTTTGAAGTTGTTTAGTATGATGATTGTCGTATGGTGCGGTTGGTGGTCACTTATACTAGTATGTGATGATGTAGCTGTGTGATAGATGGCGAGGGTTGGTTTGACAGAGATGTGTAGATTTAGTTTGAGCTTAATTGTGTGATGGATAGGGTTCCTTGTCTGGGATTTTGCGTGTTCTTTGGAGGATGAGTTGAGGTTTGATGTTGTCTTTTTCGGTGGTCTGATGACTGTTCTTTTTTTGGGCTTTGGAGCATTTCGTGACTGTGTAGAATAGACTGATGTCCGTTTTGAGTCGTGTATAGTGTAGAGCGTACCAGTTGGTTTTGCGTTGCGATGTTTTGAGTGATGAGTGCCCTCGTAGGGTGATGAGCGTTGGAGTTTTATGGTAGTGGTGCGTGATTGCCAGGTGACGTCCGGTGTCAAAGGCAATAATGTAGGTGAGTTTATGGTATTGGGGTTTTGTGAGGTTTCTTGGAAAGGTGTGCTGCTGTGAGCCTCCTTCTTTAAGGAAGGTAGATTTCAAGAACGAAATCTCTTGAAGGAGGGTAGATTGTAATATTACCAATTATATATATATATATATATATATATATATGTTAAATGTAACAATTGTTGCCGTGGGCCCCACAGGGGCTTTAGTCATTATAATGACCAAGGGGTCATTACTAGACCCAATTTTCTTTCTCTCTCTACGCGGCTGTCTTCTCTCCTCCTCTGCTTCTTATTTTTCTTTTTCATTTCACATTTCAAGCTTTAATTACTCACTCATCTTTTGGAGATTTTTGGTGTCGTTTGCAGCAAAACGAAGAGCTTGTCGAGATCTACGCATGGATGTAAGCAATTTATCATTTGGTACACCCTAAGAAATTTGAAATCTAGGGTTCAAATTGGGAGTTTTCAACAAATTGAGGTAGGGGTGTTCTAATACCTATTTCTTTGAGCTTTGTGAATTAATCTCCTTTAATTGATGCACAAACATGCTTATATTGTGTTAAATTCTTGAGATGTAATTTATATATTGTACACATGATTTTTTTTGTGTTGTAGAAAGTGTGTGATTATGTGATAGCCGCCTTCTTGAGATGGTACATGCTTAAATGATGTTAATTTAAGCCTTATGTATTTAAGTTGTTGAATTTGCAAATTGAAAGTATGTAAAATGCCATGAATTAGAAATACGAGAATGTGATATTGTGTGGAAATTCATATTTTAAACATGTCTAAATGATGTGGATGATATGTACGAAATTGTATATTGTCATAGCATTGAAGGAATTGCATAATTCATGCATTACCATTAGGAAAGTAAAGAGAAAAGTTTATATACAAAAAATAAATAAATGAAATTATTTTTGAGAAAATATTTTTAAGAGTGTTTACGAAAACCGGACACCTAGTGGTCCGTGTTGTTAGTGTAGTCTAGAAGGGAGTATGGTTGAGCTAACTAGGCCGGATGCGACGCCTTGGAGGTGCCTTGTGGTCGTGGATAGTTAGTCAACCCTCCATTCGTGACGCCTTGGAGGTGCCTTGGGTCGGATTGCACTAACGGTTTGGAAGTTGAAACGGTATTGTTTCGGAAATGGGGAGCGACACTGCATGGCATGGCATTGTGTTGGCATACATTGTATATTTGGTGGCTAGACGACTTGCGTATGTATTTGTTGATATCACCGTTGTTTTACTTGCTTTCCCCGAGGCATGATCCCATTTATTTGTATTCTATTCCTTGTATGGATTCACGGGGTCGAAAGAGGTGTATCTTAGACACTTCCTACTGAGCGGTTGGCTTACCCCATTTTATTATTAACATTTTTCTGGAAGGGAAGTGGCGGACGACGCTCCTCCACAGTTTTTTTTTGACGAATTAGTGGACTGTTTTGACATATTTTATACCTATGATCCCATTATCATTATTATTATTATATATTGATATAAGAAATAACGATAGTGCCTTTAGTTGACCTCGGGTTTGGGTAAAGGCCGGTTAGCGATTCGGACCCTCGGGTTCGGATCGTTACAAATATATTGGGATAACCAAGTACACATAACATTAAATTTCAGTTGTTCAATGTATGAAAAGATCAATACAGGCATTATCTATCTTGTGCGAGTATTTCTCCTGAATCATTCACAGTTTAGGTATATCAAAGTTGCCACAAAACTCCTTAAGATCTAGAGAAACACACATACAGTGTGAATAAACTCTAAAATCTGTATTACACAATAAAATCGAAAGTAAAGGAATTGAGATAAAGATTACCGGTATCTCCTATGATAATGTACTTGAAGAGGTAAGCGTAGGACATGGTCGCTCAGATCTTTGATTTGCTTCAAAATAGCTCCGAAATTGAGAAATTCATCTATCAAACTATACAATTGTGCTTTTGTACGAGATCTGATCAGACAACGATGAATGAATTTGAACAAAATTAAAGGAATATATAAGAAGCTACGAGAGAATAAGGATTCTCTATATTATGAGACTTACAGAATGAAAAGGAGAAGCTAGAGAGGTTTCAGGAAAGCTTTGGAATTTCAAGCGAAGTTAACCTCCTCTCTTCCTTCTTTGAGAGAGAGAGAGAGAGAGAGAGGAGGAGGAGGAGGGTTTTGTTTTTATCAATATAAAAATACCGTGCTTAGATGACGATGACACGCTGTTTGAACCGCCGAAAGAAAGAATTTCAGAAACAACTTGGAAGGTACGGCCCTTACCCAACTTCGAAGGTACAGCCCATTGCGTTATCTAAAACCGCGTTTCGTATCGTTGAATGCATCGTCATGCCAGCCTATCAGTCCAGTGGTCCGAGCCCAATCAGGAGCCCAAGAAACTACTTTCTTTCAACAATGATAAATGTAAAAGAAAATAATTATTTTTCGGTTTAGAAAATACAATATCTATATCTATACTATTTTTAAAAGTACAAATGTGTTTTAGTATATTAAAGTCTTTCACTACATTATTTTTTAATAATAAATTTATATGTTCCATATGTATGTTTCCTTTTAGAGTAACACAAATTATTTATTTATTATTTGTTTTTATTTTAAAATTAATATATAGTGTTTAGAATAGTTTCAATAAAACTCAAATTATCTATTTATTATGAGTTTTTTTTAATAAAAGGAAATATAATTAGATAAGAAAATATATAAAGAAAATAAATAATTTAGTCTTTCTAATTAGACAAGGAAATATATATATAAAAATATAAATAATTTAGTCTATTTAGTCTCCACATATTTTCTAATTTTATAAATAATATATGAATAAATAAAATATAAGTAAATTGTAATAAAAAATAGGCTTGATTTTGATATTGTTTTAGGAGTTTGAAAATACACCCATCAATAATTGAATTCCTATTGTAAAGTTCAATTAAAAATTACGTTTTTATCTCTTTTACCTTTTGTCAATTTTATGTTAATGGATATTTTAGAATTTAGAATTATTTAATTACTTTGTTAAATATTGATTTTAAATAATATTTTACTCACGTGCAATAGTACATTATTTTTTAATAATAAATTTATATGCTTAGTATATATGTTTTCTTTTAGAATAACACAAATTACCTATTTGTTATGAGTTTTTATTTTAAAATTAATATAAGGTGTTTAGAAGAGTTTCTATAAAACTCAAATTACCTATTTAAAAAAGTTTTTATAAAACTCAAATTAACTATTTATTATGAGTTTTTTTTTAATAAAAGGAAATCTAATTTAGATAAGAAAATGTATAAAGAAAATATTTTTTAATAAAAGGAAATCTAATTTAGATAAGAAAATGTATAAAGAAAATAAACAATTTAGTCTTTCTAATTAGACAGGGAAATATATAAAGGAAATATATATAAAAATATAAATAATTTAGTCTATTTAGTCTCCACATCTTTTCTAATTTTATAAATAATATATAAATAATTTTCTAATATATAAATAAATAAAATATTAGAAGATTGTAATAAAAAATAGTTTTTATTTTGATATTAGTTTAGGAGTTTGAAAATACACCCATCAATAATTGAATTCATATTGTAAAGTTTAATGAAAAATTATATTTTTATCTCTTTTACCTTGTGTCAATTTTATGTTCATGAATATTTTAGAATTTACAATTATTTAAGTATTTTGTTAAATATTAATTTTAAATTAGATTTTACTCACTCATGTTGCACGTACATATTTACTCGTATATATATATATTTGCCATTTTACGTGTAGGGCTCAAGAAGAATTTAAAAAAATATATAGATGTTGAGTTGTTGACGGATCAATTTTTGTTGCACATTGATTAGAATACTTTTAAGAGGTGTGAGAGTATTTTATTTATTATTAAGAAAGAGTTTTTGTTGGACTCCACTTATCGAAGACGCTTAAAAAAAAAATCACCAATACGCAACAACTCACTGAAAAATTATTGTGATGAATCAAATCACCCATGTCTCATGATTGGTCATCGTATGAGAGATTCATCAATTTTTGCATTATTACCCTGTAAGAAAACTTTTGAAACTCAAATTGAACTCAATGATGAATGCCCTACCAAATCCTTAACAAGGACACGTATGAGGGATGATAAATTACATTGTTGACATGAAATTGGTAATGCAAGATAAGATTTGAAATCTGAATTCATGACATCTACTCTTATCATGACAATAGATCCCAGTGTGTTAAAAGTATCTCGGGTTGGCGTTCTTCTCAATATTGTATATTCATCTCTCCTTTACTAGTATATATATATATTACATGAAAATATAGAAGAGTAAAGTCGTAATTTATATCATTGGCTAGTTTCCTGAATCTGAATACCCGACTATATTATTGTTAATCCATCTACCGACCTTTATATATAGGCACGGATTTTTTTATTTACCAAATTGTCTATAATTTTTGTAAAAATCTTAAAAATGCCCCATTCAATTTTTTTTTTGATAATACTCGACTATATTATTGTTGCTGAAAGCCACCCCTTTCATACAATTCTCTAGGTCGTCACTGCTTGTACACAATGAACAAATGAAACAAGGGTTGAATGGTTTGGAGCAAATCATCATTCCTTTCAGCTTTTCTCTGACATTATTGTTAATCCATATAAAAAGCAATACCATTAAAGAAAATAAAAAAGAAAGAAAGAACACAAACTCATAAGGCCATTTAATAAATTTTTAATTGGGTAAAAATCAACTGTTAATTTAACAATTGAAGTTAATGCAAGAAACATTCAATCTCTAGATTGCCTTCACCACAATTGGACTCCTCACATAGTGCTTACCATCTGACCATTTCAACTCTCCAAATACATACTCTGTATTTGCATTGGCTTTCTTAGTTTTCAAAGTAAGCTTGAAAGTTTTCTCTTCACCAATCTTGGTAAACTTCAAGCTTTCTGGCTTGACAAAAATGGATATACCAGCCGATTTTCGGATAAGTGCTCTATAAGTTCCTGGAGAGCCAACATTCTTAACAGTTCGCGTCACAGTGATTGAACCATTGAGCTTAGGAACTGTGATCGAGGGGTAGTTGAAGTTGACAAGACTAATTGGCTTGGGACATGTATAAGGAGCCTCCGAGAACACTGTGATTAGAGTTTGGTTGTACCCAAGAGCACATAGAAAGTTCAGGTAATCATTCACAGTTAAATCATAGACCAACCCAGGATCCATAGCATGGTTTGGTTGCACATGTCCTGCTCCATAACTAAATGGTGTTGCCTTCAAGTGGGATGCATTTGTCATTGGCTCCACAATGTTATCCCTTGTTCTCGCTGTAAAATAAGCAAAGAGTTTGAGACAATCTGCAGACAGATAATTAAATTTCAAAAGTCAAATAATTTGCTATGGCTAGTGTTTTTCTCACCACTGGTCATGATTGCTGATCTAATCGCTGCAGGACTCCAATTCGGATGGAGGGTTTTTATAAGGCCGGCAATGCCAGAAACATGAGGGCATGACATTGAAGTTCCTGATACTGAATTGAATGGAACTCGACGCTTATCATAATCTTGGTTTGTTGGTCCTTGTGCTTCAGTGTAGGCAGCTATGACACTCACTCCTGGTGCAGTGATATCAGGCTGAATTTAAATAATTAGTACCACTCACAACAAAATCCTTTTACTGATCATATGAAGAGAAAATTGACAAGAGATTGAGTTTCTCGGAAAACCTTAAGGATCTCTGGCGTAATGGCGTTGGGTCCCTTTGATGAAAAAGCTGCCATGAATGGAGCTGGTTTTGTGTTTAATTGAGTTGTTGGATGAGTAATGTAAGCCATTGGAGACCTAAAAAAACCCTAAAGATAAGTATTAAAGAAATAGTTACTAAATGTACTTACACATAATATACAAGACAAAGCCTCCTAAAGAGGATAAGCCATATGTCCCTGGTTGATATGATATTGCTATTGGCAGGTCATCTTACCTTGCTGAATCAACATAATTAAAGACAGTAAGTCCATTGGTGTAATTGATATGTGAAACGGGGATGACATGAGGATCAGCAATAATTTCATTTCCAGAAAGCTCATTATTGGCAAGAACCACCCCCACAGCACCGGCCAAAGCAGCTTGCTGGCCCTTGTCAACTCTTGCATTATCCCCTCGAAGGCAGACCAAGATCTTTCCCTTCACTTTTTTGGGATCAAGTGTCCCAGCTTTACAGAGCAGCCTGCACGAATCAAAAAATAACCAAATGCCATTGCTAAATATGCTATAATTTTGTAATGAAATTAAAGAATATTACACACATTATACGTAAAGGAGATCCCAAGATTGTGAGTATATAGAATCAGAATACCAATGTGTTGAATGTTTTATCCTTACGCTTCTTGAGCTGACGCATTTGCAGCTTTGGCATGTGCAGCACTAATAATTGGAAAGAACTTCTTCGGCAATGCTTTAGTTGAAAGGCTTTCTCCCTTAAGAGTCAAAATAGATACTAGTAAGTTCTTAGACATGAAAGATCACTAACAAGGAATGCAAATCATCAATCAGTTAGGGGATTATATAACATTTGAGTTACAACTTTTCAGTCGTCCTATGTTGATTTCTTTCCAATACGAGTAAAGACAGCACCTAGCCACTAGATACACCACTAATAGGTTATATCCACAATTGTTAGTGTAAAAGAAACTGATTTGTCTAAAGAAATATTTTAATCCTGTCTAAAATTCTTAGTTAGGACTTCATAAATTTGAGTGATCATTTCTGTCTCATTAATACCCAACATATATAGATATATAATATCAAAAACAGTAAAAAAAATGTGCCCTTAATACAATTTTCAATTAGAAAAAGGTGCCATAGTGTATTGTCAAAAGGTAAGCTTATCATAAGCATCAAGTATGTCCTCTTTTTGGTATCAAGTTGAGGAATCTTCGCTAAGTTGCAAGCTCAAATCTTCATGCAAGTGTCAAGGGCTACAAGAATTGCGGAAACTTCTACAGGGAAAAAAAGAGAGGGAAAGACAATAAACCAGCCACGGACAATAGGACTACGATGAAGGCAATTAACCTGGAAGCGCATCTTGTTGCCAAGGATGACATAACTAGGAAATTCACGATCCATGGTGCTGGCTCCGACTGTGATCTGCCAGGGTGCATTGTTGGAAACAGTACCATCAGTAGGCCCAGAATTGCCAGCTGAGCAAACCACCACAATGCCATGCTTGACAGCATGAAAGGAACCAATGGCAACACTGTCATTGAAGAAAGGGGTGGGATCCCCTCCAAGTGATACAGACAGCACATCAACACCATCGTGGATGGCTACATCAAAGGCTGCCAATATATCTGCATCAAAGCATTCGTTACCTCCTGCCGGGGGCCAGCACACCTTGTAAGCAACCACTCTAGCTTTCGGTGAACCACCTTTTGCCGTTCCATTTCCCAATCCATAAACATTTGCCCCGGCTACAAAATTACCTCCAGCCGTTGATAAGGTGTGGCTCCCATGGCCTTCAGTATCACGTGGTGAGTCAAAAGATGAGTTGAGGGGGCCCACAACAGAAGCATAGCCTTTGTTATAGTATCTTGCTCCAATCAGTTTCCTTTGGAATGGGCAAACAATGAATGGATAACACAAAGACACAAAATCAATATCAAAACCGAGCAAGACACCACAGATGGTCATTCTGAAAACACTGACAAGTATGCTAAACACAAGGGCAGTGGGGGCGGTTTCATCTGGAAGAGAAAAATAATACTAGAAAGAAAATAGGAAACTTGGAAGAATTGAGCCATATTAGCAGAATTTGTGCTTCAGTGTCAAAATATATGCGTATGAAGATCAGAAAAATAGTGATCTAATACGAGCTACTTAATTAACAACAGAAAATTTTATTCTACATGTCGATAACAGATCTCAAACCAAATCACCTTTGGAAAAAATCTAAGGTAGAGATGATGATAGAGGAAGCTGACCTGTTGCAATGAAAGCCAGTGTCTATACCATTTTGACATATTCCTCTCCACTTTGATGGAATTGGTCCCATTTCTTCATCACCAAAGCTTTTTGATTCGGGCCATACGCCTGACACAATCCCATTAAATATAAGGTGTGGCTAGAGAAAGTCAATGACAATCGCAACAGAAACTAAAACAGAAAAGCACGTTACATTGTACACGATTCAGCAATATCCCAATTGTCTGGGACCTGCATCGTCTATGTGTTATTCAATTAACACCGTCTATAGGATTTCCAGTTGTTACACAGGCAATGAATTAACCACCACAAGAGCATCATCATTCTGGATTAAGAATTACTTTAGCAGCCATTTTAGCAGCTTGGGCTTTGGAACCTCCACCGTAGAACATTTAAATGGTAATGCCCATTCTCCTAACAATAGATTTTTCTGCAATTTTCGCTAAACAAGCAGCATCGCAGAAATTTGACCCGCACACAACACCCCAATTATTTTTGAAGGCATGCCCTTCGGATGAAATTTAAAAAAAGAAGGGGGAGAAAAAGTTGAACAGACTTAAGTTTTGTGGGCATTTTTCTTCACTTTAGGTCCTTAACACACTAAATGTCATTTGAATCTAAGAATCAAGCGTATCAAAAGGAGAATATCAGTCTGTTGAACACAATTCAATTTCTGTATTTCCAGACTTTCTCAATGGTGATTGCTGCAAAGAGCATTATAGCAATAGACCATTGAGATGGCATGTTCAGAATTTTAATTTGATCTAGCATATCTTCTGCCCACTCCTTCACAGAATGATACAAAATTTTCCGTTCTTAATCCTAGAAAAATATATCGTTCTTCTTGATTCTAATTTTAAACATGTTCCTACTTTGGCTTTGTGAATCAAAACTGTAGTATCAGTAGATAGCATGCAACATGGACCTTTTCTAGGACAATACTAATGAATTTCCTGCTTTATGAAAACAAAGTGTCACATGCTCAAACATATCCATTAATGCAAGAATATTGTGATTCTGTAATTCTATTTTCTTGTCTCTAGTTGTTGTTCCCAAATTTACATGTCCAGCGTACATGTCTTTCTTGATGGCAATGGAAGAGCTGAATACACCTCGAAAATCCAAAACATTGTTTCCCAACAAGAGATTCAATCATTACAGGTCTTCCTTTTAGACGACTTTTTCCAAAAGATACAAAAAAAGATACCATTGAAGCATTGATTAGGCATTTTTCCTTGCCATCTTAACAGGCTTACTTTTAAAGATAATAATTATGTCATTTATAAATTCAACCCCAAAACACGAATGCAGTTGGAAAAATCAAGAAAAACTCTTAGCAGAATAGAAGTGACTCCAAGTCCTCTCTCAGCCCATAATTATCAAATTATTATTTTTTCTTCTTTGTACTACCATGTAGAGCAAACTGAGCCTTCTCCATTTCTATGCCATTACTGTACTATATTTGCACTTCATCCTAAAATCGTAAAATCCCTTTAATGGTTCTGTGGTCCACACACTTGTGGAATATCATGCAAACTGCTCTTTTAGTTGGTGAACTTCAGTCCCACATTACTAAATAATTGAAGTCTACCCACAAATGTTTGACAAATCAATGCTACTTAGAAAATATATTAAACAATTCAAAACTTAAAAATTGGTCCAAGTGTGTGGAATGTGAATCTTCTGGATGCATCAACCATGTGCCTTTGTTCTTTGCTAGTAGTCAACTGTGGTTTAATGGCCAGTAGTGCTCCAAGTAAATGAAATTTTATCATATGTGAAAGTGGGGTAGCCAAGGCAAGCACCCAACAGATAAAAATGAAAATCAAACGCGTTATAAACTGTTGTCCTCCACATAGGCACATATTACTATTGTAATTATGGTGAACACAGAACTAATATATTACATGGTTAGGTCAACAGCCCATATGGAAATAAAAAAAAAGCCAACTTTAGGCCATTAAACAACTTAATGAAGTGGTATAGAATAGAGTGTACCAGTATCACTTCTCTAAACAATTGAGTTGAATTAACAGTGGACTCTAATGTTTTGGTAAACAAAAAAGATAATCTTGAAAATTTTGAATTAGGAGTAAAACAATCTAACCTGTATCAAGATTGCCAATGATAGTATCTTCACCGAATCTGGCCTTCTTCCAAATCGAGCCGGAAGGGATTCTGCCATGGTTCTCAAGCCCCAGGAAGTCCCAAGACCTGGTTGTGTGTAATTTCCTTCCTTTGTTCAAGAATACTGAGACTACCTTTGGATGCTCTGCATTTGGAGGGAAGTATAACAGTTATTAGCATACGAAGAGAAGATAAAAACCATAAATAGGTGCCGTAAAAATTACTAACTGGCTATCTGGACTGCTTCTTCATCTTCAAGTGTTGCAGCAAAACCATTTATGTGTCTTGTATAGGAGTAAAAGATGGAGTCTTTCGCCTTATTGCCGCTGTGCTCAGAAAATTATTTTCATGGTTATTAATTCAGCAATGAATGATATAACAGAAACATGGACGATTGATTCATGTAAGTAAGAAATATTCACATACCTTCCCAAGATTGATCCCAACAAATCATAATGAGACTCTGTGACTCGATCTAAATCAACAGAGGACACCTCAGAGCCATGTGCATGAGCTCCCAAGTACACCACATATGACTACTCCATATTACACACAAGATTAAGGATAAAAATGAAATCACAACCATGCTACAAGGAAAAGATAAGGCCACAAGTGCTTACCTTTTTGATGGCAAAGGTGGGTCTATGACAAAGTGCTAAGAGAAGAAATGTTAGGAAGCAAAGGGTGGTATGACTTGCTCCCATTGCTCCTCTGCTTCTTGCCAAGGAGATATTTCATGGGGGCTCTCTTCCTTGCACTCAGTTGCTATTTAAAGACCACTGTTTGCTTTAATGCTGACCTCCCCCAATGGATTAGAAAGTTATGTTGATTATTAAAGTATTGTCATTATTATTATAAGATATGAATTAAAATATAAGAGAGAGAAAAACTGCCTGGTTATACCTATATCATAAGGCAACCCTCAATTAATCTATTATATGGGACTTTGTGACATCACTTTCATATAAATTTGTATAATATGAGGATCCCACATAAAAAAAAATAAAAATAAAAATAAAAAATAAGAAAATTGCATGGGAACTAACCTAATTTTTTTATTCATTCTTTTTTTGGGGTTTGTGTGAGGTAATTAGTCTATCCCAGTCCCCAGAGTTCATTAGTTTAGGCATTTTAACAAACACAAGGAGGAAGAAGTGAGAGAGCAAAGAACTTTTTTAAAAAATCTAAGAGAAGGTGGTCCAACATTATTTATTAGGTGTGTGCCCTGGCTTGACAAATAATTCCAATCCAGAGGGCTGGTTTCAATCATGTAGTGACAAAACAACAACATCAATGAGGAAAGAAAAGAAAAAAGAAGAAGAAAGAAACATGAAACATATCATCATTATCTTAAAATAATTGTCAAATCGATAGATAATAGGGAGAGCAAATGGTAACACACACTGGTTTTGGCAATAGAGTGAACATTTGTGTGTGTATATCATATTGATCTAATATTCCACATATATGATTACTTTTTTATTCATTGGTAAAAGTTCAAGCGGACAAAGTGTAAAGATGAGGATTAATACAAATTTACAACGCCAAAATTTATCTTAATAAGTAAACACTCATAATAAAAAATAAAAAAATTATTCACACTAAACATGATTAAATTATATCTAACAATCACAAGCGGTGCTTGATCATCGGTGAACAGCACTACGTTGGTATCCACATTCTGAAGGCCCTAGTCAAAATTATTGACTGTGGCTCACAAACATAGTGGCTGCCGTTGATAAGGTGTGGGCCCGCGATCTAGAGACGTTTGTGGACCCACGGCGGCAAGATTGACTTTTCTTCTTTCTTGATGTTAACTTTGGATGAATCAGATTCCACTAACAAAGTCAACTTGATCGATCTTTGTTCCACTTACCGAAAAAGGACATGATCTTGTTCCCACTCTTGGCCAACGGATGATCAGAAAGTGCAGATGATGCGTCTCAACAGAATACGCTATAGTAGCTGATAATCTGGTGCAAGAAATTTTGCTACTTGTGAGAAGAAACGCATCTTTGAACAAAAAAAAAAAAAAAAAGGAAGAAGAAGAAGAAATGTATCAAATTTAATTATGATGATAAATATATACACATCCTTTTAAGACACGTAAAGCGAATTTTAGAGCTGAAAATTTTAATTATGATTATAAATATATACACATCCTTTAAGTCACATAAAGTCAATTTGAGAGCTGAAGCGACAAAATTAAGTCATAAATAATAAAAGCATGAGAGCAAAACAAACTCGTAACGTGGTAGACACTTGTTGAAAAGGATCGTCTGACTTAACACATCCTCCTTTATATTATTAAAATGTCAATTTTATCATTGGTTAAAACGAAATGACTATGTAATTATAATGTGAGTGAAATAATAAAAGTATCATCATCTCTTCAAAAAATTAATGGAAGTTTGATAATACCCATTTATTATATTTGATTAAAAAGTACCATCATCTCTTCAAAAAATTAATGGAAGTTTGATAATACCCATTTATTATATTTGATTAATTGTTATATTTGTTAGGGTAAAGTTCAAAAAAAAAATAAAAAATTAGAACTATATTTGAATTTATAAATAATTCATAAAGTATATTTTGTGCATAATACTTTAACTATCACATTTTGTTGCAAAATGCCTACACTTATAATATTTCATTAAATGGTCATAATGTCATTTTTTATTGAATTACACTAAATTTATTTTTCTTATTGAAATAAATTATGAAAAAATTATATTACTAATTTGATGTCATATTCTTTATTAAATTTATAAAAAATTACTTTTAATTTTCTAAATTAATTGTGTAAATAAAAATCTTAAATAGAAAATTTTAAAACAATTTATTTTGGTATCTACTGTATTTTGAATCAATCAAAATGTGGTAGGGGTAGTAATGCAAATATTTTATTGATGGGTTTCAGCAATACATAGCACAGATAATTACAGTGCTACTATTATTATATTTCGCCCTTATATAGATTGTTTGAAGTGGTAAGAGTGCCTTGAGTCTCATTATTGCTTACTACGGATAAAAGATCAATATCATACGCCATTGAACAATCTCATTATTGCTTGATTTAGATCAAATATTATTCGTTGCTCACTGTTGCTTGTTGTATTATCAAGGTTGTAGAAAATTCATCCTATGAGTCAATGGTTAAAAAATATAATATTAGGCTGTTTGAAAAAAAGTCCATTTTGTAAAACCAATTCGTGAAAAAGCTTAATTCGGTTCGATCCAATATGTGAAGTAACAAATCAGATTGAATTCTATTTTTATCAATATATAGGGATCAACCGATTATGTTTACTGCCTAATATGAGTAGTGATTACCCCCAAGTAATTTCATGTGTCATTGCGTCGTCGTCGTTGCACCAAACACTTCCGTGTCCCATACAACTTTTCGAAGAAATTTTTGAAATCCATGAATGTGTTTTATGGGCAAGTGCCATCTAGTCCTAGGGGTGGGTTGCTCCCTATTGTGTGCTTGGAAGCTTGTGCTTGAGCCTTGCATCCTCTCATCTCCTCTGTCCACTAACCCCTCAATCTAACCATTTCAAGACAAAAAAAAAAAAAAAAAAGCACTTCATGGATGCCATATATATTCCTTCCCACCTTCAAAGTAGATGGAGCATGCAACTACTCCAAAACCTTTATTGATTTGCACATAGAGATTCCAGAACTTTAGAACATGTTCAGTGGACCACGAAGATAATTCAGACATCACATATTTAAGAATAAGAGTCGTTTGAAAGAAGACATCACACTTAACATGAGAGATTCTGCCAAATTCAGCACAATTAATTTTTTTTTTTTTTTTTCGTTAAAAAGTTGAAGCAAACACACATACACATACCTACCGTATCATGTCTTTAGTATTCACGGAGACTCAAACACTTAATCTCCCCCATTTAAAAAGAAAATTTTATACCATCTGGATTAGTGTCAGCACAATTTTTTATGAAAGGCAATTCAGCACAAACTTGCTACACTACAGTAGTTTCACAACAATCATACTGATGACTTAATTTTACGTCACTTCTTACACAAGCTGACGACAGCTACTGAATTAGCTAGCAATACACACACACACACACACACTGGTTTGATATTTATCTACTTGATCAAACACTTTCTGGAAAAGAAAGAGCATGTAGTACAAAACAAAAAGGTGGTACTTTGAGAGATTCTTTTATGCATGCCTTGATAAAATTGATATGCCTGTATTGGCTGTATGTTCATCAATAAAGCGATTCCTTTGGGACCATAATAAGCCTAGAAGAATCCATAACCAAACGCATGGGGCTAATTGATAGCATGTCAAACCTGATAGCAACCTCTGTGATTCAAATGATATCCTTGGAATGTTCAAGTATCTTTGAGTGCCAATGATAAAATCTCCGGCTTACAAGCATGAGAACACAAATTCGATTCTCAAAATAAAAGCGAACGTTAGGTCTACTTTCAATCTTTTTCTTCAAGTTCGAATCAACGTCATTGTCATCATTATTCTTACCCCCAATATTTGCGAGCCTTAAAATAAAAGGAAAGGTTAATTCGTAGTTTCACTCTTTTTCTCTCATGTTCGAATCATTGTCATCATTGTTTTATTTTAATATTTGCGAGTCTTGTAATAAAAGCAAAGGTGAGGTCTGGTTTCATGCTTTAAAATTTGTGACTCTCACTATGAAAGCAAATGATTGGGCTAGTATTTGTGACCTTTGTAATTAAAAGCAAAGGTTAGGTCTAGTTTCAATCTTTTTCTCCCAAGTTCGAATCATCGTCATTATTATTTTTTTTTAGTTGAATCATCATCATTCGGAGCAGATCTATATTTTATTTTATTTGTTATTATATAATACTAATATTTGTTTTTTTTTTTTTTGTTCGTATTATAAACCTACAAAATTTCAAAATTGCCCCAATAAAATTATAATAAAATTCCACTATTGCCCCCACAATATTATTTTATTATTGTTGAAAGCCGCCTCCTCTCACATAATTTTCTCTAAGTACACATGAATTATCTTATTTCATTTCTATTCATTCTCATAAAGAGTATAAATAATGGATAATTGGTTTTTTTTTTTTTTTTTAAGCAATGTTTGACTTCCTATGTCTTTACAACAAATCTGATTTTACATGGCTAAAAGCTAATCATATTGATGCATGATAAAGGGACAAAATTTTAAGCTAGCGGTAACTAGAGATGGGCTCAAGGCTGGCTTATCGGGTGGGTCATAAGACAGAAAGAATGAAAAGAATGAACTTGGGCTTATGAACACACACTTGCATTATTAAAACTGAACAATTTTCTCAGTACTTCTGTCGGCTTTGAGAAGTATGAATACAAAAATATGAGTGTCATTCTCTTTATTTTATGCACTCACATAATGGAGCAGTTGGGTTCGTCGACCCAAATTTTATGTCCACATGAGTAGGGGGGCCAAACCTGAGGCTGCACTGTCACCTTCATTGTATCCTGAGGTTTCTTCTGACCAACCGGACCGACGCTTACCAGCTCGGCATAGCCCATCTTCTTCCTCAGCAACTTTGTGACCGAAACCGCGTCGATCCCATCTCCGGTTACCTCTATCTGGTTCATGTCCTCCCCCTTCAGAGCTAATGTCTCCACCCCTGCAACAAATCATTCATTTAATTCTAATATACCACATACAACCCTAGAAAATGCATGTCACGCAGTACTTTGTCACGGGTATTAAAATGAAGCTTACCAAGAGTATGTTTGGTTTAATTTTAAAAAAAAGTAGTTTTCAAAAATTTAAAAATAATTAAAGACTGCTTTCTGAAAATAGGTCTTTTTCAACTAAATTTTTTTAAATTGTCAATCAAATAAATTTTTGTACAATTTTATTATTTTTAGCTATTTGAAAACAAAAATAAAAAAAAAATTCTAAAAAATTGAATCAAACAAACCTTAAATTGTTCGAAAATTCTCAAAAAGTGCAATTGAAAACAAAGATTTGAGGCGTTGGTTTTTTTTTTTTTTTTTTTTTTACCCGAAACACCAACTGCAATCTTCATAGCTTTGGTGCGCTCTTTCTGGCAATGCATAGATACCTTGATTACCACCTTTTGCTGCAACAAAAATAATTAGCAAAACAAAGTTATATGTGTGTGTGTGTGTGTGTGTGTTCAGGGGAAAAGAAATTGTATAAACGTTACTTCTTCTGCATTGCCAAATTATACCTTCATTTTCTTGGTTAATTTGGCGTATATATCAATTAGGGATCAAAAAGCATCTGGAATGACACACACACATCACACACACACATATATATATATATGTGCAGTTTGGAATCTCAGTGAGATGGCATGAACTTGAGAGTTTTTATTGCAAATAGGATGACATGCCCTCAATTTATAGGAGACCTCTTGGGTGATTGATAATCTCCAAACGTCATTTTGGGTACGTAGACATATGATTATATATTGCATCGTATACCTGACCAATTAATGGACTCCGGAAAAAGTGGAGCGACACCTTAAAACTTTGTGACAACAATCGTATTATATACTCCTAGGTCAGTGTCAAATTAATTAATTGTGATGGATGCATGTATACAAGGGTAAAGTGCAAAAAATACCCTTTAAACTATTTTTGAATTTGCAAATAATTCACTTGAATTTTATTTTGTGCATAAAATTTCCTAAACTATCTCATTTTGTTGCAATATACTCCAATGACTATACTATATTTCATTAAATGACCATAATATCTCTTCTTTTTAAATTACATTTAATATATTTTTCTTATCTAAATAAATTATGAAAAATTTCATACTAATGTGATGAGATATTTTTCATTAAATTTGCATAAATTTACCTTTAATTTTTTAATTAATTATTTAAATAAAAAAATTTAGTATAATTTTTTTAAAAAAATTAATTAATTTTTTAATTTTTAATGAATATATTACATAAAAAGAAGGTATTTTTTTCAAAAGTATTTTATTAGTTTTTCATCAATATATTGTATGAAAAAGATGATATTTTTTTACGATAAAAATGTTTAAATTGGTTATAATACATTTTATTATAAATAATAAAGTTTAATAATAAGTTAATCAATTTAAAAAATTATAGTTACAAATCTATTTTTTTTTTTTTTTCATTTTTATGATAAATTGATACTAATAATAAAATTAAGGTAAATAGTATAATTAATATTTACATAAGAGAAAATATAATACAATTAATTTAATAAGAAATGAAAATTTTAATAAGAAAGGGTAAAAAAAGTCTTTTGTGATAGATTTGTGCTTAATTACAACAAATCAATAGTTTATGGAGCAGTTTTTAGTTGGGTGGTTTTTTGCAAAAGGGCAATAGTTTAGGGGAATTTTTTGCACTTAACCCTATATACAATTGTGAAAATGAGGATCTCAACTGTTCAACTATATAGGTGTGAAAGTGTTGTTGGAGTGATAAAAAGGTTGCCTAAAGTGTCCCCATCTTATTAATCCTAGATTCGACTCTTCCTTCTCTAACTAACACCTTACCATTGCCACGTTAGGAAAAAAACAAAAAATCCACAAGTATATTGAAACAAAAAATAATAATTAAACTTGAAGATGAGTATTTGTCACCGTCAATCATGTAAAGAAATACGATTAATATTAATTATTATATTAGGAAATAATAATTAATATTAGGAAAAACTTAACATCAACTCATGGTCATGGTCGGTCTACCCCTGATAAACTTTACATCAAAGGACTTGTATTAAACGAGGTACTAACCACTAAGGTTACTTATAAATTAGTTGATGGTTCATGGCCATGGCCTTATAATATGTTATTTTTTCTTTTCACCATAAACAAATAAAATTATTTTTCTTCATTTTAACACCAAGGAAACTAAATATATGTATGTTGTGTTTGGAAACAATGACTTGAATTTAGAACTGAAAAAAAAAAAAAAAAATTAAATATAAATTTTAAATTCAAATCATCTAATTTTTTAAATTACATAACAAACAAAGAAATAATTAGAATATACATTTTATTCCATTTCTACCCACCATACATAGTATATGATCAACAAACAACTTTAAATTTGTATGGCTTCTCATTACAATTTGCAAAATCCCTTTTCCGTTGCTTTGTCTCAATCAAATAAGTGTAGCAAACATGTCATATATATTATCTTCCAAAACTTCCATACATATGACAAGCACAAAAGGACAAGTAATGCATATATTTTTTCAAAAAACCTAAAACCTTAGTTAAAACATTGTTTAATAATTAAAACATTGTTTTCCTTAAACAGATACCTGATACAATTAGTTTTATCTTATCCTCTCTCCCTTCAAACCTTAGTTAGTACAAAGAAAAGAGGTCAAGTCCTTCAAACTTCAAAGTCTTAATGCAATGTATCAAACATGTGCAACACCTGAAAACATTAATTTATCGAAGTCATCCTAGCATGGCAGGCTCCAAAACACAGCCAATAATAGAACCATTTTCTTGAATTGTCAATCAGAATTTGTTGGTATGCTCGAAAAGCTTGATAGTATGAATTTAACAACTTACTCTGTTTGTTTTTACGTAATATATTTTTTTCCATTTTTCAAGTAAAATATATTTTTTATTTTTATTATTTTGGTGTTTGGCAAAAGTATAGATTGAGTCCATCGGGCGGGATGTGTAAAATAACTTGTCGAAAATTGATGAATAAGTTATTTTTGTTAAGTTTTAATATATATTTTTTTAATAAATATTTTATGACAACCAAATACTCAAAAATAAAAAAATATTTTACATCCAAACAAATCGAGTCAAGAAAAATCAAGAAAAAGCGGAACAAGTTTCATATGTACTTAATTATAGAGTTACAATGAAAAGAACAATACGAGGAAGAACCATTTTACATGTTCCTGATGCCATTTACATCTTCAATCTATTTCTTCTTTGGGCTCTACAAGTTTTCAACAATCTTTTTTTTTTTTTTTTTTTTTTTTTTTTTTTTTTTTTTTTTGGGAAAATTAAGCAACTGATATAAATATAAAAGTAATTACAGTGAGGGTCCTTTGGTCAAGAACAGCCCAAAGAAGGCAACAAAGCAGCCCAAAACAAGGTAAAAACCAAAGCCCAAAAAAAAAAAAAAAAAAAGAAGCTAATAATTGTAATTAACGGCCAATTAGCCGTTAATGGAGGAAATTAGCAAACATTCCGGTGGTAGCCCTGACTGAGTAACGGCCGGATTTAGTATGTAGGCATATATTTCATCAATGAATATGTAAGAATATATATATATATATATATATATATATATATTGTTCGAGAACTAAAATTGCCTCATTATACTAGCTAGCAAACCTGCAAAACCAGAAATGAAATCACATCTTGTATAACACATTGATCCACCTTTTTCTTTCTTTCTTTCTCTTTCTCTCTCTCTCTTTTTTTTTCTTTTTTTTTTTTTTTTTTTTTTAAATATTCCTTTGAACATAGAATTATTATAATATTCCATAAAAAAGAGTTCAACACCTACCGAAAAGCATTGAATAAAAAAAAAAGGATAAAAATTGTTATTCAATGAAGTACAGAGCAACTAACCTGCGTAAACTTGATCCACGAAACTAATGACAAACAAGTTCTTGCCTTCAATCTGAAATCCTAAATCTAATTACCCCATAAACAGATCTTTAAGATAACACTATTCTATGAATTAATGCTGAAGAAAGGAAATATAATCTGCCTTTGTCCAGTAAATATTAGATCTTTCTTTATCAATTTGCTTTATAGAAAATAAGACTAGTAGTAAAAGGCTGAAGAGAAGTGCCAATCTGAAACCAATATAATGTCAACAATTGCAATTATCTCCATATCAGGTAAATTTCAAGAAGACACTTGAGGACTAGTAATATTAATTGAAAGAAGAGGAGCACATATAAATTTAATTAAACAAGAACAAACTTACCTAGCAGAACCTCCACCGGCTTCCAAACAGATTCCCCTTCCCCTCACAAAAAAATAAGCGTCTGATCAACCAAATTTGATCATGTCATCTCATGGGAATAATGTGAGATTTCTTTTTCCGGTAAGAATATAAATTTTATTACCAAAAAAGATATAGGATATATAATGAAGATCATCAATACACAATCTCAAGCTAAAAGAAAATGCTCACTGCCGGAGAGAGGAAGGCTACAAGGCTATGAAAACATACCTCTGTCTTCCATCAAAATGTCTTAAAATTACGAATGGACGATCAATATGACCTTTTAAGGCCAAATTGAATGAACAATCTTGTGAAGTATGTCGCTTGAGAGGTCATCATAAACTGCTTTGCAGTTGCTTCACTTTCATATGCACTCTCGACTACTAAGTTGAAGGTGATACGCCATTAGTATATTCCTGATACCGAGGATGTCCTTTTCACTTTGGTGAAAAGGTGAATGTATAAAGAACAAGAGGGAAATATACAACTGTACAGAGGCTTAAGCCCAAAGGCCTTGTATAGGACAGAACAAAAGTCCAACTAGAATAGGCCATACAAATTACCAAGTAAAGAACTAGTCCAGAGACTTAATTGACAACATAATACACAGCTGCAGGAATGACTGCATAATACAGCTGCAGGAAGGGATGGTAAAAAATGCTGCACATCCAGACCGAGACAGCAAATGATGAGCTAGAACAGGAGCATGAAACCGGCAATTCAGGAAATTTTAGTGACACAATTAGAAACTCACTGAGTTGAAGATGATACCAATGACAGCAGAGGAGACAGCAGATAAGCGCCCGAGGATGTCCATCGTCACACAAATAGCTGAATATTCCTTCCAATTCAGAACAACAACAAAACGGGGCAACAAGTAATCAGCATAGAATTGCACTCTGCATAGATAACTCTGATGACTGATGAGCTCACAATTGATAAATTTTGACTGAGATGTAAAATGTAGATTCAAAGTGTAAGATTTACATGGTTGAACCTTAAACACGCAAAGAGCAAAACGATTCTAACAAAACTGTAGTATACAGTTATGTGGGACAAAGGGTGGCCCTCAAACACAAATCATGATTCAAAAGTTCATGGGGACTCCTGTTGAGCAAGTATACAATGTAAATAATATTGCAGTTGGTTGATTCTATAATTCTCGAGCTCCTAAATATATTCTCAATGCTAAAAAAAAAAGAAAAGAAAGCATCATGTCATGATTTTATCGACTATAAAAATGTACATTCATCCTTCGGAGCCAAATTGAGTGAATTAACATGTGAAAGACATCGTATCTCTTGGGAGGATCGTTCACCAGAAGATGTCGTTGGACATACTTCAATCGCTCCTGCATTCTTAAATACTGATCCTGAGGTATTCCCATCAAAATCCTTTTCAGGTTTGGTATATCACTAACTGAAACCTGAATTGAGAAAACATCCCAATTCAGAACATCACTAAAAGGGGGGACATAGTGCTGTGAAATCAACACCGGCACACACTCCGCGTAGATTGCCTCTACGACTCTTGGGCTAGCAACTTCCCACCCACTTGGACAAATGCAGTACTTGCTCTTCTTCATCATGTCATTGTAAGAAATACCTTGAGGAAGCTTTTCATAAACTCGAACATCTTCGTCTTTTTCCTTCCAATGCTGAAAAAGTGCAAGCCTAATATTGCCATGTGGACCCCCTGCAAAGAATGCTAGGACCATGCGATTAGAGGGGGGCAAGCCTCCAGTGAGTCCCTCGAGCTTGCCTGTTGGCAGATTAATATTTGGACAAGAAGCATCTTTCTTGGGGTTGAAGCCCTCAGAAGTATTGGCATTGCATAGTACCCGAATGGCAGTGGAAGATAATTGAGGAACAAACCTACTTACAATAGGCCCCTGCATTAATGTAAGTAGTATCATTCACATAGGACCAAGAAAAGGAAAATATAAAATATATGTCTGTGCATGTGTGTGTACCCAGTCATGGCAAGCAAGCATGAAATGATCAGCTCCAAGGCTTTTGTTCCAATATGGGTACTTAGTAGAGATGGTATGGACATAACCACGGACTGCACGTTTTATGAAACCTTTGTCGCGGATAATTGTATCGAAAAGGGTTTCCATCATCATCACAAGACTGAAGGGAAGGAAGTAAACATGAGCTTCATCAGGATCACGGGTTCGAAAGTGGGTATTCATTTCCATTAAGTTAATAAAGAATCCTTCCAAGGAGTATATGTCCTTGCAAAAACCATTGTGGAATATAGGTGGTTCGCCTTCTTCGTAGACGAAGATCTTGAAGAGGCTTTCCATTAGCAGGTAACTCCTGCATAATTCAAACAGAGTACAGGGTAAGATGTCAATTGATTGCCCTTCACTTCACCTAAAGTACTATAAGACCCATGGAAAACACAGCGAGTTGTTGAAAAAACAAAAAGTCATTATTCAGTGCTAATGTGCATAGACAGTGTGCTAAGTGGAGAAGATTGGAGACAAAGCTAGGCTTTGACAACACTTATTCACAAAATGACCGCTCTCAAACTCAAGTCCACGTCTTCACACTTGTGAATCTGAGCATTCACTTATCTTTACATTTCAAATGAAAAATTTTTTTATATAACAAAAGGGTAGATTGCTGTCTCAATGTCACAAGTAAAACACTTATCTCACCTACCAAAAAAATTAATTAAATTCGAACCAAACATCAATATAGTGATTTTGCATCAATAATCATCAAATGAACACACTAAGGCACTTGCGAGCGAGCATATGCATATCTCTTTTTGGGTGGGTATAGTTAACCATTGTTAAATAAAATATACATGGGTGGGATACAATTTTTGAAGGATTCCTTGAGTTACAAAACACATACAAACCTGATGCAACTGATTTGTATTATAATGTTCAGTTGAAATAATTATAGGACTAAAAGTTACTAATAACACAGTTATCAATACAGGAGGAATCAGGGGATTGATTAAAGAAAATTACCGATGGAAAGCATAAGCATTCCTGTAGATGTCCCCTTGGGGAACATAATCAGAATCTTCAAGAGGCGATGAACGGCTCTGATTAATCAGGGCATCTCTGATCAAAGCTCTAGCTGTAGCAAGACTTGCTTCAAGCCCCTCTAGTTTCGCATCTCTCTTCTTCGCTCTTTTTATCTTGTCACCAAAACCCTTTTTCAGATTCATGCCTGACCATTGCTTTTTTTGGTCCTGCACCATATAAAAAAGTATATACATGCATCAAATGATAAATATATAAAAATATACAATATGCTCATAACCAAGTGTCTAACACAAACTAGCTTGCAAAGATGAAATCATATTGAGAATTGGGCTTACTTTGGATGAGGGAAAGAAAGTGGTTTGAGAGGGTGGGATCAAAGAACGATTGAGACCCAATACAGACGGTGAAAGAGAAGGTGAAGAAATGGTGCCAATGCTTGAGGAAGTCCATGACCACGGTGAAGATGGAAGAGAAATCAAAACCACAATAAAAATAGTAATGGAAGTCACAAAAAGGAGAGTTAGACATGGTATGCTACTTAACATTGCCTCATTGCCCTCTCTGTCTCTCTCTCTCTACATATATGTGTGTGTGTGTGTGTGTGTGTATAGTTACAGATTTTGTGATTGTAAACTACTACAATGTTTCTCCAGTAAACATAAAGTTGTCCATTTCCAGCTCGATTTTCCCTGGGAAAAAAGGTTTACAAAATAGAGACCAGTTTCAGAAACAATTGCTCATTAAAAAAGTCAAGAATGGGTGGCAAGTGTTTCGGAAAACGATGGATGGAGCATGGATTGAGTATTTATAGGGAGTTGGTTTAACTTCTTATGAAAGAGTGGGTGGCTGAAATGAAAGGGGCACCAACAACCAATCAGATCATTAGAAAATTACACATCATAAAAATACGTGGCCCAGGACGGTAGCTGCAATAAAGTATTGGGTCAACCCGTACCCTGTCCTTAGGTTTATGCAACAATAACAGCTTTTTTTACCGTTGAAATACAATATTAAAAATTTACGCACAGGACCAACACACAATATTTCCTTCATAGGAGGGGATCCCGATTTATATCAGGATACCTACAATGAATAGGGAGCCCGAACAATCAATGTAAAAATATGTGGCCTATCAGGACCGTAGTGGATTCATATTTGCCTAATCAATCAGAGATCTTTCTCATTTGCAAATTTGCTCATCAAATCAGCCATTGCATATAGAGGAGATAAGACCAAATTTTGGTTTGATAATTGGAGCCATGTTGGTCCTCTCCATCTCAAAGGTCAACCTCGCTGTAATCGTATCCTCTTCAATTGGATCATTAGCTAAAGTGGGTGATTACATCTCCGGATCAACATGGAATAGGTTTTGCTATCCAATGATTGATCACCGCAAACCAAATTCGCCATTCTCATCTAACACACATTTTGATTTTTTTGTCCGTTGGCAACGGCTAGTTGTTTAAATTGGTTTCGTCCTTTGGGTTTTGGCTTCTTGGGCTAAAGGTTGTTTTGGGCCATAATGGCTGCTAACTTGTTTTAGGGCATCGTCCTTGGTGGCCTGTTGGCCGTTAAATTTATACTTATGAACGAGCTTTGCTTTGCCTTCCCACAATATATATATATATGCATGCATTTATAGGATTTAAAGATGTATAATTAATGTTACAAATCACTGTCTAAGGTAAAGCAACATGTAATATGTAACAGTACCTTCAAAAGTCCCAGTGAACCTATGGAAAAACATTGAATCAAAGAATAAACATGCATACAAATCACCATCTAAGCTATTGTTGCTTCTGTAAATAAGCAAAAGAGAGAGAACGCATGCTGAAAACTCGACATAGTCTAAATCTTAACAAAAATGATGAAGTATACACACTTGTGGGGGACAAAGGGCGACCCTTAAACTCAAATCAAAATTGAAAAGTTCATGGGGACTCCTAATAAGAAACTATACAATTTGAATAATATTGCAGCATGGTAGCTACTGATTTGGCACAACACAATTTCCAACGCTCCTATACTGTTTCAAAACATATGATTTTTTTTTTTAAATGTAAACTGGGTAAGTAGTATTCAGTATGAAGAAATGTACAACCAAGTTCTCAATGGAACCAACAATGTTTCAGCCAAGGTTCAAAGAGGAACACAAGCCAAAAACTTGTGACAAAACAAAGGAACAAAAAAAAAATGTGCCCAAAAAAAGAGACAAGAAGAACCAGAAGCTTATGGGTCCATTAACCATCAGTGTCCATTGGTCAGTGAGCATCCTTGCATCAAGAAGTTAGATAGGTCAGTATCACTCATCATTTGCCTCAGAGTCCCACTGTTCCTTATATGATTCCTTATCAAATTGATTACCAATTGGGGCTGTGAAACTCTATTCTCGAAAGCTCTTACATTTCTCTCAAGCTTAAATGCATAATGTGAAGATCAGTTTATGCACAAGAAACGGTCTAGAATTCCAGTTGGAAGCACACCACTGAACAATCTGAGACCTGCAGCATGCTGAAAGTAGTCTCAAATAACAGCAAAGAAGTGACACCGGAAGAAAAGATGGCAGAGAGACTCGGGCTTGGATAAGCAGAAGTAGGAGGCATTTGGGATATGGCGGTAGGTAATAGAGGACCTATCAAGGGTGCTCAATCTGTTTTTTAAGGCAAACCATGTTATGAAACTGTGCTTGGGTATGTGAAACATGAACCAAGCAAGTTGGGACCAAGTGAAAGTTGGAGAGGGAAAGGAGAAGGAAGCAAGAGTGAGAGAAGGAGAAGGAACCAGAGGAAGATGGGAATTCGGAAAACTTGGTTCCTTACAGAATAGGGCAAGGGAATATCAGTTAAATGGTTCATGAAAGCTGGGGTGTGGATAAAGGGAGTCGGGTTAACAGACCACTGAGAATTGGAAATTAGGCTATCTAATGTGACATGGATATCCGGTTGAAGAATTTCCATCTCAGTGAGTCCATGTGTGCCTGCATCTTATGGTTCACCGTGAATTTATCAACTATAAACAAGTACATTCATCCTTCGAAGCCAAATTGAGTGAATTATCATGTGGAAGACATCATATCTCTTGGGAGGATCGTTCAACAGAAAATGTCTTTGCACAAGCTTCAATTGCTCCTGCATTCTTATATACTGATCCTGAGGTATTCCCATCAAAATCTTTTTCAGGTTTGGTATTTCACTAACCGAAACCTGAATTGAGAACGCGTCCCAATTCAGAACATCACTAAAAGGGAGGACATAGTGCTCTGAAATCAACACTGGGACACACTCTGCGTAGATTGCCTCTACAATTCTTGGACTAGCAACTTCCCAACCACTTGGACAAATGCAGTACTTGCTCTTCTTCATCATGTCCTTGTAAGAAATACCTTCAGGAAGTTTTTCATAAACTTTAACATCTTCATCTTTTTCCTTCCAATGCTGAAAAAGTGCAGGCCTAATAAAGCCATGATCACCCCCTGCAAAGAATGCTAGGACTGTGCGATTAGATGGGGGCAAGCCTCCAGTAAGCCCCTCGAGCTCGCCTGTTTCCAGATTGATTTCTGGAAGAGATGCATCTTTCTTGGGGTTGAAGTGCTCAGAAATATTAGCATTGCATAGAACCCGAATGGAAGTGAAAAATAATTGAGGAACAAACCAACTTGCAGGAGGCCCCTGCATTAATTTAACTAATGTCATTCCATAAGACTAAAGTATATAAAACTATATCAGACCAAGAAAAGGAAAGCATATGTCTGTGTGTGTGTATACCCAATCATGGCAAGAAACCATGAAATGATCAGCTCCAAGGCTTCTGTTCCAATATGGGTACCTAGTAGAGATGGTCTGGACATAACCACGGACTGCATGTCTTAGGAAAGCTTTGTAGGGGAAATTTGGATCGTAAAGGGTGTCTTGCATCATCACAACACTGAAGGGAAGGAAGTAAACATGAGCTTCATCAGGATCACGGGTTCGAAAGTGTGTATTCATTTCCATAAATTTAAGGAAGAATCCTTCGGTGGAATATATGTCCTTGCAATGACCATTGTGGAATATAGGTGGTTCGCCTTCTTTGTAGACAAAGATCTTGAAGAGGCTTTCCATTAGCAGGTAGCTCCTGCGTAATTCAAACAGAGTACAGGTAAGACGTCAATTGATTGGATTCACTCCGCTAAAGTACTAAAAAACAACCATGGAAAACACAGTGAATTGTTGGGGGAAAAAAAGAAGTCATTATTCAGTACTAATGCGCCTAGACAATGTGCTAAGTGGAGAAGGTTGGAGACCAAGCTAGGCTTTGATAACACTTCCCATAAAATGACTGCTCTCAAACTTGTGAATACGAATTTTTTTTCCTTTTTTTATAACAAAAGGGTAGCTTGCTTTTTTCAATGTCACAAGTAAAACACTTGCCTCACCTAGCCCAAAAAAGAAAAAAATATGAAACCACTTACATCCCTATTTAATTAAATAAGAACCAAACATCAATACATTGATTATGTGTTTATTTGCATCAATAATCGTTAAATAAGCACAACATATGCATCTCTCTTTATGGGGTGGGTATAGTTAACCATTGTTGAATAAACTTTAAATGGGATACAATTTTTGAAGCATTCCTAATCCCCGAGTTACAAAACACCTACAAATCTGATAACACTTTATATGTATGGGTAATGTACACTTGACAATGCACCCCATGTACATCTCCATTCTTCAGTACCAAAGCCTCCATTAAATGAAATTATTATAGGACTAAAGTTACTAACAACAGCCTTACCAATTATAATAGGAATCAGGGGATTGATTAAAGAAAATTACCTATGGAAAGCATAAGCATTCCTGTAGATGTCCCCTTGGGGAACATAATCAGCATCTTTAAGGGGTGATGAACGGCTCTGATTAATCATGGCATCTCTGATCAAAGATCTAGCTCTAGCAAGGCCTGCTTCAACCCTCTCTAGTTTTCCATCTCTTTTCTTAGCTTTTTTAACCTTGTCACTGAAACCCTTTTTCAGATTCATGCCTGCCCTTTGCTTTTTTTTGTCCTGCACCATATATACATGTATATAAGTAAACACCCCATGACAAAAAAAACGTGCAATATGCTCATAAGTAAGCGTCTAAGACAAACTTTGACATTGAGACGTGGGCTTACTTTGAATGATGGAAACAAAGAGGTTTGATTGGCTGGGATCAAAGAATGATTGAGACTCGATACAGAATGTGAGAGAGAAGGTGAAGAAATGGTGGCAATACGTGAGGAAGTCAATGACCATGGCGAAGATGGAAGAGAAATCAAAGCCACAATAACTATAGCAAAGGAAGTCACAAAAAGGAGGGTTAGACATGATATGTTCCGTAACATTGCCTCATCCCACTCCCTCTCCCTCCCTCCCTTCCTCTTCCTCTACATATATCTATATATGTGTGTGTGTATATGTATATGTATATGTATATGTATAGTTGAACATTTTGTGATTGTAAACTAATACAATGATGCTTCAATAAACATAAAGTTGTCCTCATGAAATCAGGAAGCTTCCATTTCCCCTGGAAAAAAAGTTTGACAAAATAGAGACCAGTTTCAGAAACAATTGATCATGAAAAAAAGTCAAGAATGGCTCCCAAATGTTTCGGAAAAGATGAATGGAGCATGGATTGAGTATTTATAGGGAGTTTGTTAATTGCTTATGAAAGAGTGGGTGGTTGAAAAAAATGGGGTGCCAACAACCAATCAGATCATTGAGAAATGAAAAATACTTCTTTAAAAAATGGAAGAGTTTAGTCCAAGGATTAATCCATTTGATGAATTGGTAGGAACCAATATTGATCTCATCCACTTCATCAGACAGATAACAATTTCATCACATAGACACTTCCATAGCTCTAAGTAGATAGAGAATTACACGTGAAGATCGCGTTACCTATAAGGATGGTAGCTGCAAGAAAGTATTGGGTATCAGGGATTAACTACAATAAATACTGTAAGAAAGTATTGGGTAACACGGAGTGTGTACTAAGTCACACTGAGCGGAGTGGGAGAGTAGGAGCGGAAGAGTGTGGGAGCACGAAAGGAATAACATTAAGATTATGTAGAGTGAGATTCAGAGTGGTGTGAGCGGAGTGGGAGAGTAGGAGCGGAAGGAGTGTGGGAGCACGAAAGGGACAACATTAAGATTATGTAGAGTGAGATTCGAAGTGGGAGCACATGTAGAGTGTGACAAGTTTGTAATAATTGTGTAATTGGAGTATCTATAATGAATAAGGATACGGACAACCATATATCATAAAAAAATTATTTTAAAGGAAAAATACCCTCAGTAACAGTTATGTAATATCCAGTCGAATAAAAACACCATATTTTCTTTGATTTTAGGAAACAACAAATCAACATGGTCGGGTGATATATTCGGTTCCGACATTGGAATATTGTATACTTTCTCCCTGTTAGGCCGGTAGCTGCAAGAATGTATTGGGTATTTGGGGTTACCTAGATACGTATGAATAGTTATTTTCTATTTAAAAAAAAAAAAAACACACACACACACACACAACTGGTCTCTCTCTCCCTTCTTCCCTAGCATTCATCATACCTAAATTGTCCTCACTACAACCACTCACTCCGAACAGAGGTGACTCCATCATATGGGTAACTTCCCCTTGTGAGAAATACTGAGATGAAACACACCCCAGTCCCTTGGTTCCACCTGATTTGGAGATCCATTGTTGTTCCAAGACAAAGATTGATGTCTAAGGATGGCTGTACAATCCAAGCTCCCTACCCTTCACCAGAAGAACATCTTTTTTCATCAAACACCCAATGGCCATGCCTTCAGCTCTCTTTGCTTAACAGCCTCTGAATCCCACTCCCACTTGTTCATTGACTGTTCATTTTGTTTACCCAATTGGAGCTTCTTACAATCTAATTGCAAATCCCTAACCCGTAGCTCAAATTGGGGCCAATTTGTCTTATGGGGCTACGGAACATCAATAACACAAGGAATTCAATCTGCAAGTTGGCTCTGTCAGCTACCATCAACCATATCTGGCGATAGCCAAGCAGTAGAATCTTCAGGAACAAATCATTGTCTCAGTCATCTGTTCAACTCTGCTAACGGCTATTTGTGAGAAACTATACTACTTTCACCACTACTAATAAGGGAATGAGAAAGAAGTCAAAATCGTGGTAAAATGTAAAAAAGAGATTTTTTACTTTTTATATATATATTTGGGTAATTTACATTCACACCTCTTTAAAGTTTGGGTCAACACCACTCAGCTGACTATAAATGCACAAGTTTACGTTGACACTGCTTAAGGTTTCAAAAGTTTACATATACACCCTCTCTATTAGAAAAAAATGATCGTTTTAACCTTTGACTTTGTCAACAAATATATAAAAAAGTGTACATTAATGATATAACCCTATAAATTAAAATTTGAAGGACCAAAATAACCTCTGTTCTCTCTCCAACCTTTGACCGGTATTTCTGCCCCTTTCTAACTTTCTCTCTCTAAAACCTTAATTCTTCTTAGACTCATGATTGACTTAGGTGTTGTGGTGGTGGGTGAGAGGGGAATACAGGAAATTGATTAGGGTTACTTTAATCCATTAATAAGTTTAGGGGTAAATATGACTTTTGAAATCTCAAGGAATGTCAGTGTAAACATGTGCGTTAACATTTCGCTAAGTAACATTGACCCAAACCTTAAAAAGTGTGTGTGTAATTTACCTTATATTTTTTTTATTATTGTATTAATAATACCAAATAAAATACATGTATAGTATGCCAAAGCAAACTGACACCTATTAATATGCCAAATAATCACGATATAAGAGGATTAGGGACGTAAAAAACAAAAAAGCATATCTATAAATGTATAAACGTGGCAAAATTAATGTCATTAATGAACTATAAGAAACAGGTATTAATAAATTAAGTCTTTACTGCTCGGCAAACACGAGAGCGGAACATCTGGGATGCTCCACTGATCTTGAGCTACGTACATAAACAACTGTTTCTCACAATATGAAATCACTAATCTTGAGCTACGTACATACACCACTGTTGGTCAAAATATTGAATCAAAGTGCATACCTGCAGGATTAATTTTTAAAAGTATAATTAATGTTACGGATCACCGTCTAAGCTAAAACAACGTATAATAAAATATACATCAACTAAGTGAGTAACAGTACCCGCTAAATTCCCAGTGAACCCATTGAAATTATTGAATCAAACAACTAAACAAGCATACAAATCAGAGTCTAAGCTATTGCTGCTTCTGTAAATCAGCAAATGAAAAGAAGAAAAGCCGCGCTGAAAACTCAACATAGCCTCAAACCCTAACAAAAATGATGAAGTACATGGTGAATTATTGTAACTACTGATCTGGCACAACATAATTTCCAAAGCTCCTAAACGTGTTCTCAATGCTACAAAGGGAATCATGCGTGCAACCATCTTATGGTTCGCCATGAATTTATCGACTATAAACAAGAACGTTCATCCTTCGTAACCAAATTGAGTGAATTATCATGTGGAAGACATCGTATCTCTTTGGAGGATCGTTCACCAGAAAATGTCGTTGCACATGCTTCAATCTCTCCTGCATTCTTATATACCGATCCTGAGGTATTCCCATCAAGATCCTCTTCAGGTTTGGTATTTCACTAACCGAAACCTGAATTGAGAACGAGTCCCAATTCAGAACATCAGTGAAAGGGAGGACATAGTGCTGTGAAATCAACACTGGGACACACTCGGCGTAGATTGCCTCCACGATTCTTGGACTAGCAACTTCCCAACCACTTGGACAAATGCAGTACTTGCTCTTCCTCATCATGTCATTGTAAGAAATACCTTCAGGAAGCTTTTCATAAACTTGAACATCTTCATCTTTTTCCTTCCAATGCTGAAGAAGTGCAGGCCTAATACGGCCATTTGCACGTCCTGCAAAGAATGCTAGGACCGTGCGATTAGAGGGGGGCAAGCCTCCGGTAAGTCCCTCTAGCTTGCCTGTTTCCAGACTGATTTCTGGAAAAGATGCATCTTTCTTGGGGTTGAAGTACTCAGAAGTATTGGCGTTACATAGTACCCGAATGGCAGTAAAATATAATTGAGGAACATACCGTGTTGCACGAGGCCCCTGCATTAATGTAACAAATATCATTCAAATAGGACTATAGTATCTATATCTATATCTATATCAAGAAAAGGAAAATATATGTCTAAACATGTGTGTGCATGTATATACCCAATCATGGCAAGAAAGCATAAAATGATCAGCTCCAAGGCTTCTGTTCCAATATGGGTACTTAGTAGAAATGGTATGGACATAACCAACGACTGTACGTTCTAGGACAGCTTTGTCGCGGATAATTGGATCAAAAAGGGTGTCTATGATCATCGCCACACTGAAGGGAAGGTAGTAAACATGAGCTTCATCAGGATCACGGGTTCGAAAGTGGGTATTCATTTCCATTAATTTAAGGAAGATTCCTTCCGTGGAGTATTTGTTCTTGCAAGGACCATTGTGGAATATAGGTGGTTCACCTTCTTCGTAGACGAAGATCTTGAAGAGGCTTTCCATTAGAAGGTAACTCCTGCATATTCAAACAGAGTATAGGGTAAGATGTCAATTGATTGAACTTCACTTCACCTAAAGTATTATAAGACCCATCGAAAACACAGTCAACGTCTTGACACTATCAATACGAGCATTCACTTGTTATCTTTACATTTTCAAATGAAAATGTTATTCATATAACAAAAAGGTAGATTGCTGTTTTCAATGTCATTAGCAAAACATTTACCTCAGCGGCCCAAAAGAAATCACTTGCATCGCTATTTAATTAAATTTGAACTAATAATATGTGCGTGGGATACATTTTCTGAAGCATTCCTTATCCTTAAGTTAGAAAACACGTACAAACCTGATACACTTGATATGTATGGGTAATGTATACTTGATACAAAGAACCACATGTACATCTCCGTTCGTTGTTACCAAAGCCTCCATTAAATGGCATTATTATAGGACTCAATGTAAGATGGTACAAAATTACTAACCACAGAGTAACCAATTACCAGAGGAATCATGGTTAGAGAAAATTATTAAGTTCATTACCGATGGAAAGCATAAGCATTCCTGTAGACGTCCCCTTGGGGAACATAATCAGCATCTTCAAGAGGCAATGAACGGCTCTGATTAATCATGGCATCTCTAATCAAAGCTCTAGCTCTTGCAAGACCTGCTTCAAGCTTCTCTAGTTTTGCATCTCTCTTCTTAGCTCTTTTTATCTTTTCACTGAAACCCTTTCTCAGATTCATGCCTACCCTTGGTCTTTTTTTGTCCTGCACCATATATATAAGTATATACATATATAAGTAACACCCCAAGACAAAAAATGTATACGCATGAAAAAAAATGCACAATATGTTCATAATCAAATTGTCTAAGGCAGACTAGGTATAAAAGATAAAATCACTGTCATTGAGGACTGGGCTTACTTTGAGTAAGGGAAACAAAGTGGTTTGAGTGGGTGGGATCAAAGAATGATTGAGACTCAATATAGAAAGTGAGAGAGAATGTGAAGAAATGGTGGCAATGCCTGAGGAAGTCCATGACCATGGTGAAGATGGAAGAGAAATCAATGACATTCCCATGGAATCATTTGTTACCAAAACCACGCTAACTAAAGCAAAGGAAGCTACAAGAAGGAGAGTCAGACATGGATATGCTCTATAACATTGCCTCATCATTCTCTCTCTTTGTCCGTCTCTCTCGCTCTCCCTCTACATAAATATAAATATATATAGTTAAAGATTTTGTGATTGTAAACTATTATAATGATGCTTTAATAAACATAAACTTGTTGCCATGAAATCAGGAAGCTTCCATTTCCAGTTAACAAAAAACAGACCATTTACGTAAACAATCTCATAAAAAAGTCATGAATGGGTCGCAAGTGTTACAGAATAGATAGAGTGTCAAATAAAGTATTGTATTCTGAGAGTAGTGACAATGTAGTAGCCGAGCCATTGTTAATAGTAATTTTTTATTATCAGAATAATAATAATTATAATTATTCACTTAGATGGAAGTACTACTCAATGTCGTGGTGGTTTCAAGGAATAACGGTGGTCCAGACCCATTATAAATGGAAGAGTCAGCAAACTGAAGGAACATGAACATCTAAAACATCAAAAATCATAAATCCTTTGTGAGAAATTTTACTATTTATCTGTAGACGGTAGCAAATTAGGGAATGTGAAGTTAGAAAATGTTCGAAATCATTGTAACATCTAAAAGATCTAGCTAATGTTAAAGAATATACATGTGGTAAATCAAAAAATTAAGTGATTGATGATGGTTTAGAGACATATCATATTAAGTCTATTATATAACATAAAATTATTTTTATGGGATTCAACAAATCAGATCTATAAATGTAAAGATGTACCAAAATCAATAATGTCATTAATAGACTTACAGAAACATGTGTTAATTAATTGAGTCTTGTTTCTCGGCAAACACGATAGCGTAGCATCTGGGGTGCTCCAGTACTGATCTTGAACTACATAAACAACAACATTGTTGGTCACATATTTAGGATTTAAATACAAAGTATAATTAATGTTACAAATCACCGTCTAAGCTAAAGCAAACATATATAATAAATATTACATTAACTAATAAGTGAGTAACAGTACAGTACCCTCAAAAATCCCAGAGAAGCCATGGAAAAAGAAATAAAAAATCTGAGACATATGTCTCGAAAAAGACACGCCTTGACGGAGAAGGAGCAAAACCACCATTTTCGTTTTTATTTTTTCCTTGGAAGTTGAGTTTGTGAGACGAAAACCCGTTTGTTCACTCCGTCCCTTTTGTTTCTCCTCTGCCTACGCCTAAAATGTGATTATATTGATTTATTCTCTTCGGCTAGGGCAACTCCGGCGGCCCAATCCAGACTAAATTCAGTTCCAGAACCCCCTTTTATTTTGGGCTGGGCTTTGACTATTGTGTCAAACAACTCAAAGCCCAACCCAAAATTATATATATATATATATTTTATAAACATATTTGTTGAAGATTTACTGCAGAACAACGGGAAAGTGCATTTTTTGAAGATTTTTCTTTATTGATTTCTTCAATAAATTTTCCTAACAATATTCTTTTTTTTTTGAAAAGTCGAGCTTTACAGCAACAAGGCTCAGTCAATAATGTCATCGTAATAAATTTGATTTTTTTATATAAAAATTCAGTACTTAATAATATCTTCACAATAAATTAAATTTATTTTCAAAATAAAAACGAAAGAAGGTGCAAGGTGTAAAGTATAGGTGAAATTCATTGCCGACTCAAATACAGTAATTGACTGGTGTCACCATCTCTTCAATTTAAGTTGTGGGAATCTGGTGCTGTACTACTCCCACTACAGACACGTGGCAGCCAAATCACGATTTTGCGCCACGTAACTGCCTCGTTGCACGAGATTCCCGCCCCCTCTCTCTCACTTCATGGTATCGTTCTGCTTCTTTCTTCATTCATGCCGCAACCAACAGGTGAACACACACTCTCTCTCGGTCTGACACATACAATAAAATACGATTCCATTTTTGTCCTCCCCTTTTCCAATTACTACCACCCAACCAAGAAAAGAAAGGGGCACAATTCATGGAGGTTCCGGTAGGGTTGATAGCGAAGCTATGGAGCTTCGTTTCATTTCTACCCTTCTTCCTCTTGCTCTTCATCCTCGGCCTTCTCAAAGGTATACTATGCGTAATATATATATATATGCATAAACACACACAGTACCTCTGAAGATACACACACATTACATCGCTTTATATCCAAGTCCTCTTGCTTACATTATATTCAAGAATCTGTGAATTATATCAGCTTAAAGCTATACAATACCATGTATATAGGCATAGGCATATTAATTTATGCTATATCCACTTGAACACATAGCTATGCACACAGTACACACTCGTTTTATGAAAAATAAATAATTGCGTGTGCCATTCACTCTGTTTAACTTTGCCAAGTAGTTAGTGGAAGTAACATGTTAATTAATTTCCTTCAAGCATGTATGTTAGATGGATTATTCGGTCCGATTATAACTAAGGATTACTTTGTCTCTTTAGCATTTTCTATGAAAATGTGAAGCATTGCATACTAATTAATGTATATATATATACTTGGATTGCTTATTAGGCTTTGTCTGCCACTTGCTATATATAGCTCTGCCCTTAATGTAGATCATTAATCATGGCCAAACCATTTATATTACTGTATTATGTTCGGTTGTATGGAATTGGTACATTGGAATTAGTTCAAAGTTTAAACTAAATTTACTCCAATTACAATTCCATGCAACCAAACGTAGCATTAGTCAATTTCTTTCACCTCTAATCAATTCTACTTCCATCTCCAATTAATGCTACTACTACAATTGTTCAAATTAATTTGTGTTTATAATTTTACCCTTTCTTATTTTAAGATACATGCCTCGACATTTGCATTTCAAATAGTTAATTTTATGCCCACGTTGTCGTTTAACTGTTCAAGACTCTGTCCTATGAAATGTTTTAACAAAAAATTGTTTAAATATATCTAATTGTGGTACTTTATGAAAAATAATTTAAGTTAGAAAGTAAGAAAACTTTGCTTTGGTCCCATAAGAAATTTTTTGAATCTATTGTTGTTTCTATGCACATACATTAATTTACATTTTACGATGGTGGCTATATGATGTGTGTTGTTACTGATAGCTGTTTCATTCGACAGCGGCAATCATCTGTCCAGTTGTAGGGGGCATTATTGTGATTGGAAATTCAGCAGTAATTATTGGCCTTTGGCCTGCACATTTTTTCTGGACTTACTACTGCGTGGCAAAGTATGCTTGTATTTCCTCAATTTACCAAATTTATGTTCAACATCCCATATTTGTATATTTAGCATGATATCAAGTTCTGCTCTATATTCATGCTCTGTGTTTTTTCTGTATGTCCTTTGGCCTTCTATTAATTCAGAACCAAAAGGCTTGGACTAGTTTTGAAGATTTTGGTGCTAGTGTTATTACCAGTGCCTTTAGTCCTTTGGCCAATCATTGGGATTGTCGGAAGCCTGCTGGGCGGGATAGCATATGGGTTTTTTGCTCCTCTTCTTGCAACTTTTGAGGCTGTTGGACAGAATGTCACTGACAAATTATTTCATTGCTTTGCCGTAAGTCTCCCTCTCCTTCCATTTTTCTTGTGTGTGTTTCTTAAGAAGAAGTGGCAGACATTCATTTAAAACCTTTTAAACAAAATTACTTGAGTCTCTTATTATCAACAGAAGAACAGTCAAAATTTTCATAATCTCCTTCCATTATGTATTTATTGGCTTCCTCAAATTGAAAGACACTGCTTTAAGCTATGGCTCTTGTTTATTGTGTGTGTGTGTTTGTTTTTTTCTTTTTTTATATGATGGTGGTGGTGGAGGAAGATGAATTCATAGAATGTCATTTTTCAGTGGTAAAAGTCTTCTGATTAAACAAGCTTATTTATGTGCAACCATTTCAAGAAGTTGTATACCTTGATTTTAGCATATAGCCTAACATTCATTCATATATAACTCACAAAAAAGTTGGGAATGTTTTTATATTATTGCATAATTTTAGAATTGAGTAACTAACAACATGTAGTTCTTGATGTTTGATCAGAAGATCAACATCCTTTTGTTCCTACTTCCTATATATTGTAAATCTAGCCCATTCAAACTAATTACATATTCATACTCTATGCTGGTGGCTTGCATTGTGCATAATCATCAGGATGGTTGTCTATCCACTCTTAAGGGTAGCTGCACCGTGGTACGGGATCTGACTGATTTTTGCTTCCACTCTTATTTCTCCTATATGGATGAACTGAGTGAGGAAGTACCTGCAGATGAGAAGCCTATGGATATCAAGTGAGGATCTCTCATTTTGAATAATTTCTATACAATAATATTAATATGGTAATCATAATTAGTGCTCGTCTCGCTTTGTTTGTTTTTAGGTTATCAAAGCTTCCAAGCTGTTTGTTGCTTTCCCTACTTGGCGTGCTGGTGGATGTGCCTATGATTACTGCTGTTGCTCTTTGGAAAAGCCCATGCATGCTGTTCAAAGGATGGAAGAGGATGTTAGAAGACTTGATCGGAAGAGAAGGACCATTCTTGGAGACAGTATGTGTCCCATTTGCCGGTCTTGCCATCATCTTGTGGCCTTTGGCTGTAGTGGGAGCTGTAATAAGTGCCTTCATCTCCAGCTTCTTCCTAGGATTCTATGGTGGAGTCATTGCCCATCAAGTATGCTGGATTTTTATTTTTTATTTTTGAAGAGTTTGAGATAGAACCTTGGCATGCATGATTGGGAGTTTAGCTCACGTCAGATTCTTAATTCCCAGGAAGACTCGCTTGGGATGGGACTCGCATACATCATGGCAGTAATTTCACTATTTGATGAGTATACAAATGATTTACTTTACCTAAGGGAGGGATCCTGCTTTCCCAGGTACAATTTGGGATTTTATCATATATATATTTTTCAGTTATCATATTATGCTTCATCATGAGAAACAGAGAAAGTATCTGCCTCAATTTCATTGATTTTGATCCTGAGAAATCCTTCTGACAGCCAGGCCCAGATACCGCAGAAACATGAGCACTACTGACAGCCTTGAGAGAATAAAGTCGCTAGAAAATGACAAAAATGACCAGAATAATGGGAGAGATGGCTCCTACAATTCAAAGCTGGTTTCAGAAAGATCAAGAACATTAAAGTGGTCTATCCAACAATATGCGCCTATACAGGTGAGAAACCTCCTGTGCACTGCCAAAACTAATATTTATCCTGAAAGGTCGAATCCAAAGTTTTTTGTTAAAACGTTACAGGTATGGGATTGGCTGTTTAAATCCTGCGAGGTGAATGGTAGGATACTCCTTCGCGATGGTCTGATAGATGTCAAAGACATTGAAGAATGTATTCTGAAGGGTAATTGTAAGAAGTTAGGCATTAAACTACCTGCTTGGTGCATTTTACAGTGTCTTCTTGCATCGGCAAAGTCTGACTCTTCTGGTTTGTTAATCTGTAAGTCTCATGAGATAAACTTAGTTCTTTGCTTGATATATGTTAGATTTGAGTTCCAATTGTGATTTCTACATTGAATTTTCTAGCTGATGAAGTGGAATTGACAAAGACTAACGCTCCAAGGGATAAAGTGTTTGAGTGGTTCATTGGGCCGCTTTTAACAATGAAGGAGCAAATAAAGACACTCCATTTAGATGAAAATGAAGAAATCTGTCTGAGAAATCTGATTATGGGGTGCAAGAATGAGAAACCAGAGGAGTGGGATAACACTGGATTCCCATCTAGTGACAACGTCAGAAGAGCACAATTGCAGGCCATAATTAGGAGGTAAATTCCTAAATATAATGCTATAATTGAAAAAAGAAAATTGGAGTTAAGATTCTGGTGAAGCACAGGAAGAGAGGAAGACAGCTTAATTTTAAGATGCGTCAGGTAGTTCATTCGAGTCAATGCGGAGTATGGGACTGTTAGGGGATTGGTATCATACTGTCATATGATACACATATATTATATATGAATTTCGTTAATTCGCATTATTTTGCCCAAAAAAAAGGATTTTTCATCACATCTTTCTCAAGTCGATATATAGACTGCAATTAGGCCCCTTCTTGTAATTTTCTCATGGCTTGCGCAAAGTATAATATGCAATATGTATCATGTATCTGCATTTGGGAGAAACTAGGGTTGAACGCTTCTAGGGAGATTCCTGAAGTGTATGATATAAGGCTAAGATTTATGTATCATAAACTTGGACGTGCTGCAGAAAATGCAGGTATACTCTTCCCACATGAATAAAGCTTCGTATGGAAACCACATCATAGAAGGATAGTGCATTTTTCTGGATGAGGTACTCCATCATTCTAGGGACATGGATGTTGCCAGTGGACGATACAGAAACGGAGAGCAAAACCCCTCTCTTTTATTTAGTGTTGTCTTTTCTTTTTTCTTAATTTTCTTTTCCAAGTTTCCACCACCTCTGTTGAGCCATATATTTATACTTGTTCTAGGGTAGTAACGAAAAGTTGAGATCCCAAATTTCAATTTCTTTCTTAAACCTCGCATTTTCGATATCATGTCCATTTCACTGAATGGCGAGCTATGCAGAGATTTTGACCTCTTTAAATCCTAGTGTAGATAACAACTGCTATCCGTAGTGCCTGATTACAGACCAAGCGTAACAAGATCCTTCTGCATGTGTTGGGGACATTTGGAGTCTGCGTTATATGAACTCTTGATCTTTTTTGAAAATTAACTGAAATCCTATTTTTTTTTTTTAATGTGAATTTGGTTCTTGACAAAGGTATTGTACGTTCTTCCTGTTGTTTGATGACAGACTACAGGGAATTGTTGGTTCAATGTCACGGATGCCGACCTTCAGACGGCGCTTCAGGAATTTGGTGAAAGTGTTGTGCTTGGAGGCCATTCAGCGTGGAATCTTATCAGACGATCGTGTTGTTGAAAGCTTAAAATCCAGATACGGGAAAACCTTTAATGGAAATGAGGATAGAAAAGACAGAGATGCTCCTGGAGAGAGGAGCGGACGCGGGGCATTCGATAATGGAAATATAGTATGACTTGTATTGTATTTTTATAATTCTCTACAGCTTTGTGTACCTTAGCAGGAAAAACAGTTTTGTAAGTTTTGTTTGATTAGGAAAGGACAGTCATTTTGAAGTTGGAATTTAGTTCTAATTAGGCAGAAGTGAGAAGATCCATTAGTTTTGAAATAACATGTTCCCTCTTATTTCTTTTGTTTTCAACTTCTAGAATCTAGAGTATGATGAGTATCTTCTGTGTTGTTTACTTAACAATTGATAGCTGAGCTGTCAAACCATCATTTTAAAGGGTGCGCACGAAATGAGATGAACACAGAAGGTGTAAGAAGGGTTACTTGTCTCACATCGAATCCGAATAGAAAAGTGATTAGATATAAATGAGTGGATATACAATAATATTTAATAGCTTAAGTTTTTAGGTAAATGGATAAGTATTTACCTGTTTCAGTTGGTATCATAGTGAGATCCAATCTTTGATTCAGTGTTACGCCAAGCGCCCGATCCTGAGGGCACTTTACGCCAAGCGCCCGACCCTGAGGGCACTTGGATAGACAGGGTGACTCAAGTTGCAACGCTCATAAGGATTCTTTCGCGTAAATATTATGACAACCCACATTCATAACTCACATCTACGTATCTATAAATTTATGGATATAACTTGCTTTTCATGTTTAAAAAACATTAAAAATTTTGGCATAAGAAAATAAAAAATGAAACGATACAAATACGGATACATTGGAGTATAATGCTTTTTTTACAAAAAAAAAAAAAATCACCATTAAAAATTCAACCGCATATGTACTATTTTTCTTCTCATTTTAATAATATAGAAGATTAAAATAAAAAAAGTAATATAAAGTGTTGTAACGGGTCAAACATTTGCCTTCTAACTCATAAATTTAAATTGTTGGATAGTGCTGACCTTGCCTATCCGGAATAGACTCAAATTCCTTTCAACCAGCACGGACTGGGCATAGAGTAAGCACCCAACCCATTACAATGATAAAGATGAGAAACCGTATATAACCAAAATGATTAGAGTTGATGATTTAGACAGAAATTTAAATTTTAAAATTACTTTGGTATATATTAGAACAAGTGGGAAGACCAGGAGTCTATGAAATACATTTTAAAATATAAAAAATTAAATTGATATCTAACATTACATACAATATACTATATAGTAGGAACCTGTGGGAAGTTTCCTAATTTAAAGCCCTTCATTTTCGGGCACCTCCCTTTCCCACAGCCTCTAACTGGAGACATTTCCTCAACAAACAGACTCTCACAAAACCTGATCAAAAAACAAGAAAAATTTCTGAACAATTTCACCTGAATTTTTCAATCTGGTGCAAATCTTTCCCCATCAAAACCAACATAACGTTCTGTATCTTCTTTTTTTATCATATAATTGTCATCCCTCAATTCTATTCTTTTACTGCACATTGTATCATTTCAAATTCGGGTTTGACTCTGTATGGCTCAGCTCTTGATGCATCTTCAAGAAGCTTTGGTTTCAAGGTAATGTGAAAGCTCCTCTTATCTAATGATCAATGAGGATAAAAAAAAAAAATCTAATGATCAATGAAGAATATATGTGTTTTATGTGTTTAGGCCTCAACAGGCCATATTTTTCTCCTGTGGTGCGACTTGTAGACCTATGAAGTTGAGAAAAAAATTATACAGATGCATGCACCTCTAAAACTATAGGATCAATCCAGTTTATGCGTTGAAGGAAACAATATAAATATCTACAATGTCTTATCGTATTTCTGGGAAGGGTCATTCTATGTCTTTCTCAGAACCACCTCTAGCACAGAGAATAACACATGATCCGGTGACGCTTAAAACCGCCCAGAATACTGTCACCTGCGTCTATCAGACCCACATTGCGGGTTTCTGGCGCAATGTGACGGTCTTCTGGTGCAAGAATGCCGTGAGCCATTACCTCAGCATTTCTGTTGATAGCGTAGAGAGTGACCATTACCACTCCTGCAAGATTGATCTCAAGCCCTGGCACTTTTGGAGCAAAAAAGGGTACAAGACCTTTGAAGTTGAACAAAACCCACTGGAGGTCTATTGGGATGTACGCTCAGCTAAATTTTCTGGTGGTCCTGAGCCATGGTCCGATTTCTATGTTGCTTTAGTTTCCGATGAAGAGGTGGTGTTATTGTTAGGCGATTACAAGAAAAAGGCTTATAAGAGAACCAAATCAAGACCTCCACTTGTTGAAGCTGTGATGTTTTACAAGAAGGAACATGTATTTGGCAAAAAAAGTTTCACTACAAGAGCCAAGTTTGATCAAAGAAGAGAAGATCATGACATTGTTGTAGAGAGTTCAACATCGGGTCCTAGAGATCCTGAAATGTGGATTAGCATAGATGGGATTGTTTTGATCCACATTAGGAACTTGCAGTGGAAATTCCGGGGTAACCAGACGGTTTTAGTTGACAAGCTACCGGTGCAAGTATTTTGGGATGTGCATGCTTGGCTATTTTGTACCCCAGGCACAGGCCCTGGCTTGTTCATTTTCAAGCCAGGTGCACCGGAATCAGAAAGCGACAAAGAGGAAAGTAGTTGTGGTGGTGAAAGTGAGTGTAGTAGCAGTAATAGCAGGTATTATTCGACTCTAAGTCATTCCAAAGCATCACAATTCTGCCTTTTTCTCTACCCATGGAAGATTGAGTGAATTAGTGTAACCTAATACAGAAATGGCTCAAAACTGCATGAACTTGCACAGGCTTTATCTTCGGCTATGTACAGATTGAATGGTCACAACATCAAGATTGTGAAGTCAGTTTCGTTGGGTTTGAACCCTCAGCTGTTGTATACTATGTTGATCTATGTTATGAAAATTTTGGAACAACATGATTGATTCCACCATGCAGTTGTACTAGACATCAATGTTCAGAAATAGGATAATCATTACCTCAGCTAGAACTTCAATACACCGTGTTTTCATTTATTGATACCACTGAAATAGCCTGGTGTCTCATGCCTTCATGAGGCTCTCTACTAGATATTGTATCTTGTGTTAGAATCCATCTTCTTTCTCTTCTTCAGCTTTCATTGACTTCAGTAATCATGGAATCATCTTCCTCCTGCATTTACTTGCTTTACGGAACCTCTCACCTGTCACACCTCTCAAGATGTCATGTAAATAAGAAATGCAAAATATATGAAAATATAGCATTGAAAGTCAATCTATTAACTATAGTTGGCAAAATTTCTTTTTTTAAATCTAAGGAGGATGTTCAATGAAAGGTATGGCTTGTTCCAAATTCTCATTTTATAACTGCACAATAGTGGTACACGACAACATCAAAGGATCAAAAACCATCGATTTCTGGAATTTTTGACAGCCATGGAAGTCTTACTCTAGTTTGGCAGAAACAGGTGACACTTTTTAGCAAACAGAGAGGCATGTGCATGCCCGCCCACCCACGCACGCAAAACAGAGAGAGATAGTTAGCACACAATCTAAACAGTACAACTTGAACAGTTTGGTCACCCTTATCTAAATTATTAAAACAGAATTGGAGCATGTTTTAAAATAAGGTAAAAAGACACAAGTAAACATCCAAAGAGGCATAAGATACCGCACAATGCTATTAAAAGCCATATCTTGAAATTATCAAGTGTAACAAGAAAACTATAAGAACAATGGGATTAAATGAGAAGAAATATATAGGCAAGGCACACATGAAATGTCACCTTCCAAAACATTTTAGTATCGAAGAGGTAAGTGCTGTAGAAAGAAACTTCAGCCCAGCTGATCCTCCAGGGAAATAAGAAATAGCATAGTATGACAGTGCAAGAACCTGGCAAGACAAGAGGCATCAACTTACACTATAAGGCTTGCTTCATAAAAGAAAAGTGAAAATAAAAGAACTTGTTATTTAGATTAAAAGTGTATCACATAGTGATAATAATGCCATATATCATCTCATCATTCAATTGGTGTGATGATGTGAGCAGTCGCGGACTAGGAATTCAACTTCAGTGGGGGCCACTCTGGAATTTGGGCAATAATAATAGAAAAATTAAACCAAATTAATGAATACAAAAGAATAAATATTGATCAATACTTTTTTTCATTCGGTACATGTAAAATTATTCTAAACAAATTTTCACGTTTTGAAAGTGTTGCACAATAACCTCATTACTTGAAAAACGAAAATTTGGATTCTTGCATAATGATTGAGTGTTGAGAAATTGAATTAAAGAGTATTTTAGATTCCTACCTTCCTCTTTGCGCTTCCTTCTTTGAAAGAGATGGAGAACTATGCCACTAAGCCTTTGGCTTAAGTAGTATCTATCATTTTTTTTTCTTTCCAAGTGAAAAGTTGAGGATTCCAGCCCCCCTAGGGAGAATAATTGGTTTGTGTTTGATTTTTTTGTCTGTCAGTTGCTTCGCTATTAAAAAAATAAAGAGATTGAAAGTCCAAGAAAAAGACTTTGTGGACAAGTGGATTTTCAAGTTGCAAGAGAATTTGTAGAGTCAAAGAAAAGAGAGTTAGAGATGCACATAATAAAAGAGGAGAGAAAATTTGAGAAAGAAGAGTTACAATAAAAAGGATTTTGATAATTATATGAAGGGGTGCTTTTCGATATATGAAAAGAATAATTGTAAAACCAAAAAAAATTTGAGTGGACATCTAACTTCTTTTATAATCTTTAGAAAGGATGCTGTTAAAATTATGAAAAGACAGGCATACAAAAAAAAAAAAAAACATATATTGACTGGGCCCCAGTGGCTCTGTCACTGGATGTGAGATATTGGATGCCCAAATACCCTTATCCTCTTTTCGCACGCATTCCCCAGTAAAAACTATAACAATAAAACCAAGTCATTTGTTTTTTCATTTTTTAAAATGATAGAATTTGTCTTCTATGGAATTGATTTTTTTGTGCCTTGCAAGTTGCATGAAATCAAGAAAATTCATTAAAAAAATTCAAATATTTTTTTGACAAGATCAATTGCATTGAATGAAAGATAGAAGAAGATGCAGAACAGGAAAAACTTTGAAGAAACACAGAGAAACAAAGACTGCTACTAAATGTGGTATTGTGTGGACTAAAAACCTACAACTGCCCCAGGAATGTGCAAAGAGTAGATCACGGATATGAATGAAGATCAAGAAAACCATTACCATGCCAAAGAAAATTATGCAGGCTTCAATTCAGGCTAACATCCTGGTGTGGGATTACTAACTTCTATGGGACCGTTGCACAAGCCATATAGGACCACTCATTAGACAGCTGAAGTGGAAAAATATTTGTAAATAAAAATGCATGTCAGTAGAACTTTCCAAAGGATGGTGTTCAATTATGCAGTACAAGGAGAACAGTGGGCACAGAAATTAAATTACAACCCAAATGGAAAGCAAGTTTCAGTTAAAAGGGATATCTATTAACTAGGCTAGCTGACATGAAGCAAATCCTTTCCATGTCATAAAATTCATTAAAGGTATTACACATGGCCAGATCACGACCACAACCACACTAGGCTGATTGCCAGATTTCCAAGGTGAAGATTATTGACAGCATATAAACAAAAGCTAGAAAAATTAGGAAAAACATATGGGAAAAGAGATATTTGGTACCTGTAACACAGAGAAGAGCACAGAAAGAACATAACTGTGAAGCACCATGGAAACATAAATTGTACCCACCATGCTGCCAATAAATCCCAACGTAAAAGGAAGCCTCTGTGGAGGAGGAAAAATAAGAATATATGGTTTAGCAGGGAAAAGTATGAATAGAAGAACAATTTAAAGCCTCAGACGGGTAGAAACCAAAATTGAGTTGAGTGTTTCTATAAAAGATGATCAAAGAGCATTTTAACAACAAAGAAAATTTTAAGCATCACTGACGTACCTCTTTTGAAAACATGTGCATAAGCTGATTCTTAGGACCTTTGAGGGCAAAGAATGAGCCAATGATGAAGGCACAACCAATAGTAAAGCAGATAGCGAATTTTTGAGGCATTACCACCATGACAGGAAGGAAAAGGGTAAAAGCAATGAAGATAAAAAACACTCCAGCCGCTAGGAGTAAACCAAAATACAGAAGAGATTTTCCAGAAGGAACATTGCTAGTGGCGGACTGAAAGTTTCCTGGTAAGCCTCTCATTCCTTTTGAAACCCTATATAAAAATCAACAATTTAGGATACCTGTGTCATGGTTAGCAACAAAATGATGGACCAAGCTCCACAGCTGATTGATATTCTAGTTCCCACTTTTTAAAAGACTATAATCAGAAGCATAGTGCTGCAGCTTTTAGTTTATAAGCCTTTTCTTTTTAGAGGTAACCTCTAAGGAGCTCTTACTCAAGTAGGGTTCAGGCCCAGCAGAGCAAGTCATATAGACTTGTCATGGCATGACAGTTGGAAGGGAATGAATATGATAAATATTGAATATACATGACAAGGGAAGTCTATTTTAAAATAATAAACAGAAAATTAAAAGGAATGGAAAAGAAGAAGTAGAAGATAGTAGTCATGAAGAATAAGGAAGGTAGTTGCGGTAATTATAAATAGTAATAATAATAATAATTTGTGGTGTCTGAGAAAAGGAAATGGAAACAGAGAATAAACTGTAGTCGAAAAAGAAATTTTATTTGGAGAACAGGAAGGGAAATAAGCACAATCATTAAACAAAATATTTTTACTTCACCTAAACTAAACTGCTCTTTTCCAGCAGAGAACAATTTCAACCATGCAAATGCTTCGCTTTTATGTATTTTTATCACCATCAACCATTTCCTTGTTATTGAACTTGCTGCATGTCTATTTCTTATGTTATCCTACCATAAGAATCACTTAGCAGAGGGCTAAAACAGCTGATTGACTCTTGCCATCATTCCCAATACATCAACCATGAATCCGTGACTACAATTAAGACCTCTATCTTTCCTTTAATACTCCAGAGATCTCAGACTAATCAAAGATAAATTAAAGTACTCCGGAGCCCTCGGCAGAGCATGCTAACATCATCACCAAAAACCTCCTCATCGTTGAAGGCACGTTGCTAGGGACATCTCACACTTACATCTCCTAAGGCCTAAACATTATCCATATTCATCATACATTCGCATAATTTTTTGCTAGTAATTGTTTTCACAAGCTATGTAAATTTCACGCCATACGAATCATAAAACCTTCGCACTGATCAAGATTTTTTTCTCCACATACTACACCAACTGCATTAACAAAAAAAACCTAGCAATTTCCACTACTATGTATAACAAGAACAGTATCATTTCCAAAAATAATCCATAATTCTAACATTGACTCTCGATACATATATAATTACATCCATATAAAGCATTTAAATGTCAAATTCACAAGCAATCATACTATAGGAGGATTGGATAACAGCATATCGAACCCTAGATTACAAAAAAAGTGAAGGACAGTGCGAAGTATTACTTACACATTGAAAGTACCAGTGATTTTATCGTTGGCGGTTTTGACGGCGGCTTCCAGATCGAAGGCTGAACTCGAAGACTCGAACTCGTCGGAAGCTTTGGAGGCGGTGTAGGCGTTCCAATCTGCAAGCAGAGAAGGTGACGATTGCTGCAGATGGTTGTGGTTGCTGATTCTACTGCTACTGGGACCACCTGAGAACCAACCTTGCGACATTTTCAGTGTGTCACAGACTCAACGCTGGTTCGAATTACCAGTAGATGATGACAATGCAGGGCTTGGTGGTTTCAGGCCATTTCCTTCTTGCTCGGAGGTTCTACAGTTTTCTTCTTACTGATGATGAAAAAATAACTAAAATTACATTTTTATACCCAAGTTTTTCATTTTTGTGAGATGAATTTTCCACACTTTTTTTTTTTTTTTTTTTTTTTGTTTCTTCTTCTTTGGGTCATGTGTTGTGAATAATTTGTAGAATACTATTATGACCTATTATTTTTGTGAAAATATAGAAAGAAAAAAAAGAACTGTATTTTGTTTTTCCTTTTTCTTACTTAATTCATCAATGTAATAAATAATATTATTTGCACAAACGGAACATTTTCAAATCAGTAATCAAAAATTTTTATCTTGAATTTACCATTAATTGATAAAACAGTTATGAAAAAGTAGTGAACATCTCTTGCATTGTGCTCTTAATTTTAAAAATAGTAATAATTTAATATATATATATATATCGATTCAAGCCTTCTTTCCACACATATTATTAACATGAATTTTAATGAACATTTTTAAATTTCAAAATTTAATTTTCTACCAATATGAGTTTAATTAACACTCAAACTAATTCAAAAAAATATAAAAGTTTATGTTTTACCTTTTTACATTATGCCTAATTTCTTTAGGAAAAAAAAAAAAAACAGTCATGAAACACTATGATGAAATTTTTTAATAGAATTTAAAAATAAAAAAGAGATAAAGATTTACTGATGAGAGATAACATCGTGAGGACACATATACATGCGTAACATACCGGTCATTCTTTTGTTATACGTATTAGATCGTCGATTTATTTTTAAAATCTATTTCAATTTAGTCATCAATTGCAAATAAAAAATGGAGATATTCATTATTGTTTTTCTTATTTTATTTTATTATTTTTCATTTGGCATGAATGTCATTTCTCAATTTCTTTTCACGAAAGGGCATTCTGCGTAAATACTTATGAAACCAAAGATTTCGTGGTAAATTCATCATCCATGAATATAATTAGCACTGGTTACAGAATCACTTCAGTACTAAAAACTCGTCCCCCCACTTCCTCTCCAAGCAACGGAGAATGAAGGTTGCTCCCAAGGTAATATTCCTAATCAGAGACGCTGATGGCTTCGGCACGGTAATCTCAGACGCTCTCCAACCAAACCCTAACTCCTCCCTTCGAAGATTGTAAGTTTCTTCTGATTATCATCCAAATTCAATTTTTCTATTTCACCTTCAACCATCTCAGTCATCTATATCTGACCATTCGATTGGTTATTTTACAGAGAAGAATCGTTCGAGCTGTCTCTTCAGGAACGCTACGGGATCAAAGATCACAAGGCTTCCGGCAACATCGTTCATTTTGTCGATGAGAAAGGCCTTTATGAGGTATGCCTTTTTCTCTAATTATGTAATGAATTCGATACAATTTTGTGGAATTTAAGTTCATATTAATTCAAAATTTAGAAATTTTCTCCAATTTCAATTCCAAAGATTTTTTTGATTCCATGCTACCAAACATCGCATGAGTTTTTTTTTTGTTTATTTATTTATTTATTACCACATGCCCTGACTGGTTTGGAAAGATCACATCACATGGGGATTGGAAATCCCAATAAGTTTGGAGCATTTTATGGTCTTGAGATTGCTTAACAGATAGACAATGTGGAATTTTGTGATCGTGGTTCAATTAGGCAGCTAATGAGTTTAATTCGTTAGTGTACCAACTTAATTTGTAAATGAAATTCAAGGAGATCTGTGTTGTTCTGAAAGTGAGGGAGGTATGGTTGTTGGTAATGACGGTATGATAAAGGGCCGTGGGAAATAGAAAATCAAATTTTGATTTACCAAACTAATCAGCATGTCAGGGAAAAAAAAACAAATAAACAAACAAACAAACAAACAACTAATCAGCATGCCAGCTGTTGGATGCTTTAGAGGAAGACAGTCACGTATATGCGGGTATGACCATGGAGAGGTGCCAAAGACATCCTGTATGTGTGCACTACCATTCTTTTAGAAAAGCCCTGGGCTCTAGTTGGAATCCAATGCATGATTTATCCTTCTGTCTCTTTGTCTTGCTCATTACAACTTTGATCAGGTGCAAAGCGTGGATACTTCCAATTTAAGTTTGATCTGTCTTGAGCATTATCTGTTACATAAACAATTCCTTTGCAAAAGATATTGGGAATTTAAAACCGTTAAACGGATAGAAGCACATAATGGGTTTTGATATGTCATCTTAGGAATTTACAAGGTCCAGTATGTGATATTCTTGCTGCTTTAGTTTCTTGTTTCCAAAGATCTAGGAAAATGATAATGACTATGTCCAAATTTTGGTCAGCTTGCCCTTTTTCCTCTTCCCTCATTATTCTACATATCGATAAGAACTTCCAGCTCAACCACATGAATGGCTTAGTGGGATATTTGATTTCTTTTTTCATTTCTTTTCCAGGTGTCTCTGTTGCTTCTTCAAAATTATGAACCTCCAATTTTGGCTTGTGTTGTTAATGAGGTTCTGGCGTCAATAACAGGGGAAGATTCATCAACCATGCCCACAGTAGTGTTCCCATTCATTGTGGCAGCATCAAAGCTAAAGTGGGAAGGTAAAAGTTCATTGACGAACAACAAAGTTTCACTATATGGCATACAAATAGGTCCAGAAACGGATGTAACACGGGTCATGTTAGCCAAAACACAAAAGCCACCATCGACGCTGCAGATTCATCACGAATCAGTGGCCTGCTGTCTTCAGTTGATCCGTGTCTTGAAGCTGCCAACTTTTTTCCTCATCGGGCAATGTGGTCGACACACATCTAGTAAAGCTTTAGCAGAAGAGCTTGAGGTATTTTTTCTTCAACAATTTTCAATTAAGGCAATTATTCTTGTTAATGTTGCTAAGAAATATATAGAACTATGATCAAAGATATGGAATTTATGATTGATTGAATGTTCAGTATATGAATTTGCACTATGAAGTCCCCCTCACCACTCTCCTCTCCTATATTACCATTGTCCAGGTTAATAATATCAAATTTGGGCATTTCTGTTTGTACTTAAAATATCAGTATCATTTGTCACTTCATGTTCTGCTGTGAACTTTAAGGTCAATCTATTCGACTTCATGCCTTCATGTTTTGGCGTTCCATTAAATTTTCCTGTTAAAAGTTTCTATATGCATGTACCTTACAAGCACATAGTCAGTAATAGGAATGAAGGTTTAGGCACTCTCGGGCATGCCCTCACAATTGTGGAAATCATTCCTAATCCACTACTAATGCTATAGTATCCTTTCTTTATCTATTCACATCATCATAGATATATATATATATTTTTTTTTTGGCAAGTAATAATGTATTAGAAAGCATTCAAAGGGAAACGTGTCCCAAAAACTACACAAAGGCCTAGTGGAACCCTAAGGACCCAAGGAGCCCAAAAAATCAACTATCTCCTTTAAAGATTTACAATTTCTCCCCATTACCCAATAGAAAAGAGAGCTAATAGTAAGAAAATTTAAAGCCCCAATAGAATATTCCTCTCCATCTCCGGTCCCTCCAATTCATAGATAATTTAAAATGAGTTACATTTAGGGGTGCAAGTTGGGCGGGTTCACCCCGGCCCAACCCGAACCCAGACCGAAATTTTCGGGTTTGGCTTTTAATTTTACCAATTCAGGTTTTGATTGGGTTGGAAGTTTTCAGCTCGAGCCCATTTTGGGTTGAAACCTTTCTAACCCAAGCGCAACCCAAACTCGATTTTCATATACTATACATTTTTTGTTTAATTTTAAAATTTCAAATTAAATCCCGACCTTCTATTTTATCCATCAATTGTTGTGCTTGATATATCTCTCAACCTAAAACTCTCTAAACCTTCAGTCTTTTTCATTCCGCTGGTAATGTGCCGACTCTCACCGCTAGGGGTGGCAATTCATGTTGGCGGATCGTGTTCGTGTCGTGTCAGAGCATAGGTATTCTGTTATATGGGTCGACACGAACACAACAAGATTATTATTTGTGTCAAGAAACCCCGACATGAACACGACACTATTATTACACAGGTAACACAACACAACACTTGTAACCCGTTTAATAAATGGATCAAGACTTGACACGAGACGACAAGGTACATTTAAGTCATTTCTAACACGGACACGACATGTTTATTTAACGTGTTTAACTAAACGGGTCATTTTTAACACAAATAGAACATGTTTATTTGACACATTTAGTTAAACCGGTTATAAACGGGTTGACAGGTTAAACACGAACACGACATGTTTAATTATTGTGTCAATTCGGGTCGACATGAACATGATTAAGTCAAGCCCAAACCCAGTTATCTCGTGTCGTGTTAAATTTTGCCACTCCTACTCGCCGGCAATCAGCTGAGACTGTCACATAGATGAGGTAATCATTCGTCGCACCTCGTTGTTCATTCCGGCAATGGCGGGCATGAAAATATTGTAGTACCAGTAACAACTACGGAGGAGGAAATTTGCTAGATGCGTTTCATGGCTTCTAAAGTCTTACACATATAGTTTTTGCAAAAGGAATTCAGATATGCTCAAGTTCTTGGTGGTCACATGAATGTGTTCATAGGAGAGAGAAAGTCAGGTTGAGACAATAACCTCCAAGAGAGTAAGTACCCTTTTCTTATGCTATGTTCGGTAGGATGATAGGATGGATGAGTCCTTCCTCTTTCACACATTTTCATCCGTCCAAATATAGGCAGAAGTTAGGAAAGAAGACAAGTGGGCCTAGTATAGAAATTTTAAATTACTGCATCATCCTTTTTAAATAATTAATAAATCTCATAAATAAAGTAAGTAATGGGCTTAATGGTAAAAATAATTTAAAAATCTATCTTTCTTTTTATCTTACCGATCAAAGTAAATTGTCAGTTTCTTCTTTTCTCTTCCGTCCAACTGAACAAAAAAGGGAAGAACATAATCTCTTCTGTAGGGATGTCTCATTTATCCCTTCTTCTCTCCCTTCCATCCAATTTTTTTCCTTTCTAGCGAACGAAGAATTAATCTTTATCCTCTCTCTCTCCCTCCATTCTATTTGCACTTCCTTCTGCATATCTAAATGAGACCAATAAATGAGGTTATGGACAATGCCCTGTTGAATCTATTGAGTAAGAAGGGAGCAAATTTAACAATGATGAACTTGAAAGATCTATTTTTTGTGGTTGTTGTTATGTGTGTTTCTTGCTTCTGGAAATTAGTCATGAGACAGATTTGACAAAAAAAAAAAAAAAAAAAGGGCCCAATCAACCCGACTGACCTGAAACTTTCGAGTTGAGGTTGGACTGACCTGAAATTAGTTCACGTTTCATTCAGGCTGGCTTAACCTGACCCGAGATTGGGTTGCTGTCGGGTTGGTACCAGGCTCAGGTTAGGCTTGCCCGAGTTACATGTCAGACATAGTGCTGCCTCAAGGAAAATAGTCCTGCAAACTTTGGGGTTGCAACCACGCGGATGAAACAAGAGCATCATGGAGTGTACTTAGTAGCTCTAGCTATAGGTCTGATTGGTATGCTTGGTATACCCATATATACTCAATATCCTCGAACATTCTTCCCCACCCAAATTTGTAACGCCCTTGTTGCGGTTGGACCAGAAGCAAACCCGGACAGTTTCCGACTGAGTACTTGGTGTGACACTGGGTCAAAGACTGAGTCTCGTTCTGATAGATAGAGTGATATCAACTGTAACGTGTCGGACACTTGCCTTTTGTCTCAAAAGCTTGAGTTGTTGGGTTGTACTGCATATCTACTCATGTACAGTGTTGGTAAAGGCGCGCCTTGGCATGTACCTAGGCTCCAGATGCAACATTTGCGCCTGTTGTGTGCCCAGGTGCGCTTTTGACAACATTTTCGCCTTTAACATGGAAATATGAATATACTTTAATTGTAATCTAATTTTTCTATTGAGGACCTCGATTCACTCAGGTATGCGTCTCACCTTGCGCCTAGCACCTATGCTCCAAAGGATCTCTAGTGCCTCAGTGCGCCTTGGGTCTTTGATAACACTGCTCATATATATTCAATATTCTCCCCATCCAGATCCGGTTTGGGACAAGAACCTCTAACACCTACCACCCTGAATTCGTGATTCTCAATTGGCTGTCAAGAAACAACATGCTCAATAAATAATTGATAGCCTATTACCATACCAAAGATCCTCAAAACAGCCACATCAATGGAACAGGAACATCACGGAATGCTTGAGGGCTCTAATTGTTGGTCTAATTGGTAGTCTATTTCCCAGTTTTTTCTTTTTAAATCCTCTAAGCATCCGCATTCATATAGTGAACACGTTATTTCTTAGCTGCCAACTGAAAGTCCTGAATTCCATGGATGGTAGGCATACAACTGAAAGTCCTGAATTCCTCTGAATTTTTTTGTGGAAGTAAAGCAGAAATATTATTCTTCTTTTCCTATTAGTTTCTGTGCTTGTTCGATATCCTTATCTGCGATCTGATTCTATATGCATTCTTTCCCAGGTGATCTATGAGATGGGAGACCTTCTGTCAAGCATCTCTTGCTTAAGCTTTTTGAGAGAGAGGATAACGTGGAACCCAGTAAAAACATCGAGGGACAGTGAGGAGCCATGGCGTGCATTATATGGTTGAATCTAAGATGTTCGTGTGGTTTAGATGCTGAAATTGGGCTTATCATTTATTGCATCTGCTAAAGAACTTTATATGTTGCTACCCAGATCTACAGACCATGGCAAGGGAGGGAAAATGACGCTTAGGTAGGACTGAAAAGTCCAACTGAAAAGTCCAACTCCTTGCTTATTGAATTTTATTTTCCTTAGAAGCAGCAAACTACATTGTATTGTGTTTTTGGAAACTTTGCATAAACTTATTTTTGCAATGTACTGGTTCTTACTTATGTGACACACCTTGCCATTAATTCCTTTACCCAGATGAGTGAAAAGAAAATGTTGCATCCTCCATTTTACATTATGCCTTAGTTGCGTTCCGGAGCAGCCCAAATGTTTTTTTGGGGCCAAATTACCCTCTCAACGCCATATAATTGAAAAGAAGAGTATTAAGTGGTGTTTGATGCTCGAATAAGTGCCAAAAATTGAAGAATGTAACCCTTTTTCTTTTCTTTTTCAATAGTGGAAGGTTTACCAACCTTTTTCCAACCAACAACGCTATAGTTTCTCCAGGAGAACAATACAATTGGTAAGGGGTCTTTTTGTTTTAAAAAATAACGGGAGCATATCGGTTACTTGAGGGGGATTTTTCATATTTAAAATAAAAATAAAAAATTCGAATAGAGATTTATTGCTTGTCGTTGCTCAGCCTTTTGATTAGTAAGAATCCAATTTTTTTTTTTTTTTTGCCCTTTTCCCGTAGAGTGAGTTTTCCTTCTTAATGCATTTACTCTTTTACCGAAAATAAAATTAAAAAATCCAATCACAATTACTAGCCGACCGCTTAAGAATTTATGACAAAATATTATACATGCATATCTTAAAGGCATATATACTTTTGAACAATTATGTAAAAACAATACTTTTGACTGTGTCCAACTGAACAAACTACACATGCAAACAAGTTCAACACGACATATAAAAGATATATTGAAGACAAACCTAGGCCTGATAGCAACTGGTGGAAACTCCATGCTGGATCTGCAATTATTTTCTTGATGTCACCGTGAATGAAGATGAGCTCATCAAATTTAGCTTCTTCGCCCGCTCTTCTTCTTCCTTCTTTGATTCTTTTGGTTTCTTCCGAAGGTATCGACAAACCATTCATGATACCTTGTGGTCTGAGTGTGCCCAATGATGAACCCGACTACTAACCCACCGCCATAGCCCATGCATATCACAATCCAATCACTTTTATCAATTCCAAACCAGGAATGATCATCATCTTGGTTGAAGTTCCAAGGTTGTGGTGGTGGCAGTGATGCCTCTGAATTGCCACATTTCTTTGGCAAAGGGTCTCCACACAATCCTAAATTCCCCTCGTATGAACTGCTTTCAAATGAATTAAATTGGCTCACTCATGGTATAGGTCCTGTGAGATGATTATTAGAGACATTGAAGAATGCAAGGAACGTGATTTGGGTTAGCTGCTGGGGAATCTCTCCCGTGAGCTTATTTTGAGAAATGTCTAATGATTCAAGCTGCATTAGATTCCCCAAGGATGATGGAATGTGACTAGTGAGATTTTTGTTGGAAAGGCGGAGCATGTGAAGACACTTAAGCATCCCAATAGAATCCGGAATCTCTCCTTCAAATCGGTTACTTGAGAGATCAATGGCAATGAAGATGGTTAGGATATACACATACACTGTTGGCACACCTTTGTTTGTCAGTGTGATTGCGTAAGTACTGTAATTTTCAAAACCATAGTTCTCTTTCCAGATGTACTTCGATTGATTAACATCATCGATAGTTTTCATAGCTGTCCATGTGTGGAAGTAACCGGAAGGTAACTTACCGGTGAAACCATTGTGAGAGAGGTCAAGAATTTGCAATTTAGGGAAAGCAAAGCTAGAGTTGGGGTTTAGTATTGAACCATGGAATCTATTGAATCGCAAAATGAGAACCTTCAATTCGGGAAGTGTTCCAAGCCAAAAGGGAAATATATCATTGATGTGATTGTTCCCAACATCAAGACTCTCTAGAAGTGAGCAATTGACCAATGAATTTGGCACTGGCCCTTGCAATTGGTTTTGACTCAAGTTGATCATCCTCAGTTGGGTTCCATTCTTGTATGCTTGAGGAATGGGCCCCCGCAGTTTATTGTTTCCAAAATTCAATAATTTCAGATGATCAGAAAAATTGCCCAAGCATTGAGGAATGATGCCACTCAGATTGTTATAAGATAAATCCAGGACACTAAGAGAACTTGCATTGCATATCAGTAGTGGAATCTTCCCCGTCAGTTTGTTGTATGCGACATTATAAATCCCGATGGATGGTGGTGGAACGGGAAGTGATCCTTCCAGCATGTTAGAACTAAGGTCTAAATTGTATAGTCGATCCCAAGGAAGGACTAAAGGAGGAGGTTAGTGAAAGACAGTTATAAAGTTTTGAGAAAGGTCAAGGTTAAACAGAGTTTGTGTACTCATGTTCCATATCCATGTAGGCAGGGGGCCTTGAATTCTGTTGTTGCTGAGGTTTAAGTTCCACAACTGGTCTTGAGTTTTTAAGAAATCTGGAAACTCAATTAAGTTGCATGACACCAATTGGAGATTAAGAAATTTTGGAAGAGTGGAATTGGTGTAATTGCTATCGCTGAGCAGTGTGTGTTGGTTATATGATAGCTGAAGAGCAATAAGATTTTTCAAGGTAAGAAACAAGTCTGGCTTCACTCTTCCACTCAGGTTGTTGAAACCAATAAAAAGAACTCGTAGATTTACAAATTGGGATATTGACTCTGGGATGGGACCATGTAACATATTGTATGAAAGGTCTAGCAATGTTAATTGGGTCAAATTCATGAGCCAAGAAGGGATTTGACCAATTAATTGAGTAGACCTCATGTAAAATCTTTCAAGTTGTGTAAGATTACCAATCCAAAACGGTATTGACCCTGCTGAGAAGTTTTTAGAAAGATCTAGCAATGTTAATTGGTTCAGATTCATGAGCCAAGAAGGGATTTGACCAGTTAGCTGAGTAGACCTCATGCACAATATTTCAAGATGTGTAAGATTACTAATCCAAAACGGTATTGACCCTGCTGAGAAGTTGTTTTCAGAAAGGTCTAGCAATGTTAATTGGGTTAGATTCATGAGCCAAGAAGGGATTTGGCCAGTTAGCTGAGTAGACCTCATGCACAATCTTTCAAGATGTGTAAGATTACCAATCCAAGACGGGATGACCTTGCTGAGAAGTTGTTTTCAGAAAGGTCTAGTAATGTTAATTGGGTCAGATTCATGAGCCAAGAAAGGATTCGACCAGTCAGTTGAGTAGACCTCATGTACAATCTTTCAAGTTGTGTAAGATTACCAATCCAAGACGATATTGACCCTGCTGAGAAGTTGTTTCCAGATAGTTCCAAATGAAGGAGTTGTGAAAGATTACTAATTGAAGACAACATTGACCCTGAGAAATTGCAATATGAGATATCCAAATGATTCAAAGATTCAAGGTATCTGATTGAATTTGGCATCTCTCCAGAAAAGTTTGTTCCCGCCAGCCTCAACTCCTTGAGTGGACTCCTCCTGAAAAATCCAGGCAAGTAACCGCTGAGATTTGTATTGTACTGCACGCTAAGAAACTGTAGGTTTGGTAACTTAAAAATGCATGCCGAAAATTCACCTTGTAATTGACAATTTTCTAGAAGTAGAGAAGTTAAAGATGAAAAATTAGCCAAAACATGTACCGGAGAAGATATGTTCACTTGACTGAGGTGAAGCTGTTTTAAATCCGTCAAGTTCTGAACCAAACTTGCTAGACCAGGCTTTAGGATTTCCAAAAAATAATTTCTTGAAAGATCAAGGGAATTTAATTTGGTTAAATTTGAAAATTCCAATGGGATTTGACCAGTAAATTCGGTGTTTGAGAGATTGAGATACGTTAACCTCGAAAGAAGTCCAATGGCAGATGGGATTTGAGATTTATTGAAGTAATTGCCAGCAAGGTTAAGTGTCTGAAGGTGAACAAGACGGAAGAGGGTATTGCTGGTGTTGATAAAACCGGAGAGAAAGCTGCTACTGAGGTCAAGGCTAATGACACGGCAGGTGTTATCATCACAAGTGACACCGTCCCATAAGCAGCAATCACTGCTACTGGCATTCCATGATGCAACCTTTGGATAAGCTGAAGGATCCACAGATATTGATACAGACTTTATAATTGAAATGCTTTGAGTGAAGTGCAACAAAGCAAAGCTGTCATCTTGGTGGCAGAGTGGGTTATGTTGCTGGAGAGAAGGGAAAAAGTGAATAAGCATAAAGTAATGAGATGTAGTGATGATGAGTAAGAAGAAGATCAAATAGTGCAAGAAGATGGTAAAGTGACACAATAATATTGGTGAAGAACCACCCATATTCAATTATATAAATAATATACATTCTCTGTCTTTCTTTGGCACTATAATATATGATAATCAAGCATATGAGATTGGTGGTGTTTATATAGAAGAATATCAAAATGGGATCCTATTTACCGTGTTAAATGGACCACAAGTACTGTACACAACTTCCCGGCTATCCTGATCTCGGACCATCAGTCTGCTTTTGTGCCCCACAGAGTTATCCATGAGAATGTGCTCCTTGTTCATGAATTCATGCATTACCTTAAGGCCAAGCGGACTGGAAGTTTTAGCTTTCTGGCCTTCAAGCTTGATATGGAGAAAGCTTATGATCGGGTGGAATGGCATTTCCTTAAAGGTATGCTCCGGTGTTTTGGTTTTGGCAACCAATGGGTTTCTCTAATTTTGTCCTGTGTTACCTCAGTTTCTTTCTTTGTGCTAGAAGCATTCTTCAGCCTTCCAGAGGGTTGCATCAAGGAGACCCGCTCTCGCCTTTTCTTTTTCTCTTATGTGCTGAGGGGTTGAGCATTTTGTTATCTTATGCTAAACGGAATAACATTATCCATGGGCTGAAGATTGGTACTGATTCTCCCTCTGTCAGTCATATGTTGTTTGCTGATGATGCAATCCTCTTCTGTAAGGCTCAGGAGGAGGAAGTTTCCTCTTTGATGCATATTCTTGATCATTACTCTTCTCTATCAGGTTAGCGCATTAATTTTGCTAAATCTGGTGTTTTCTTCAGTCGCAATACTGCTACCTCTATGTGTTCTCATCTCTGTCGCATCATGCGGGTCTCGAACTCCAATTGGGTGAACAAATATCTTGGTATTCCTTCTTTACTTCCAAGATCTAAAAGGGAAGCATTCCATTTTTTGTTGGATAAAATTGACTCCAAAGTTAAACAGTTAAAAAGCAATTATCTCTCTCGTGCTGGAAGAGAGACGTTATTAAAGTCGGTTCTGGCGGCCCTCCCGACTTATTCCCTCCAATGTTTTAAAATGACTGACTCCTTTGCTCAAGAGATTGTTAGCAAACTTCGTCTCTTTTGGTGGAAAGGGGCAGGTGAAAGTTCTGCTATTCATTGGGTTAAATGGGAGCACCTGTGTGAACCCAAATGTAAAGGTGGTCTCGGTTTTCGGGACATTCTGGATTTCAATTTGGCTCTTCTTGCTAAATTTGGGTGGAAGTTGATTCAAGGGGACTCCTCCAATGAGCACTCGTTATTTTATTCGATTTTCAAGTCTAAATATTTTCCGAACTCCTCTTTCCTTGAGTCTCACTGTCCAGTAAACGCGTCTTGGGGATGGAAAAGTATTTTCGCTTCAAAAAATCTTACTAAAAAAAGGATCCTTTGGGTTGTTGGTGATGGTTCTTCCATTAATATTTGGAATGACAATTGGCTCCTAGATGGAAGTTGCCCAACTCCTTTATCATCATCGCGCTGTTCTCTGATCCAGAAAATTGAAGAGCTTATTGATCAGGATTCTAAGTCATAGAATAGACCCTTGATCAATCAGCTCTTTAATCTCAGAGATTCGAGACTCATCTTTCAAATTCCCTTGAAGTTTTCTGGCAGAAGGGATCGTCTCTTGTGGGGTCCTTCTCTGAATGGGATTTTCACAGTTAAATCAGCTATAAATTGGCTCGAAACGGATTGCAGTCTACCGATTGTCACCACCCTGCTTCTAGTATCATTCAAGAGAGGAATGGTCTCTGGACTTCTATATAGCGCTTGAAAGTTCCAAGGAAAGCTATTTTATTTATTTGGCAATGTTTGCCATGAGAGGCTTCTTGTTCGTGCTAACTTGGTTTTTAGAGGGTGTCGGGTTGATCCCCATTGTAAAAGGTATGGTTTCAAGATGGAAAAAGTTGGGCGTGTGCTTTTCTTTTGCCCCTTTGCTAAGGTGGTTTGGAAAACTTCCCCTTTAAGAGTGATTATTTCAGATGAGTTCCCTCATTTTTGGAGTCAATCATGGTCCCTTCTTGTTGATCAATGGTCCAGTAGCCCCCTGAAAGATGACTTGTGCAGTTTGGGTGCTCTTATTTGTTGGAACTTGTGGAAGGTTAGAAATGATTATGTCTTTCAAGACATCCAGAGAGATGTGGCTGAGGTAATTTATCAAGTTAATGCCGATTTCTCGGAGTTCAGTGAGGCTTCGAGATTTAAATCGATGTTCTCTCCAAGGGCGGCTCCAGTTCCCTCCTCTTCCTCTCCGTGGACGCCTCCCATGGAAGGTTCCTTTAAGCTTAATGTGGATGCTTCTTTTGACTCTCAATCGAAGGTTTGTGGAGGCGGTCTTATTCTAAGAGATTGCAAGGGTTGGCCCATTAAAGTTGTTTCTATTTTCTTGTGCCATGTTTGAAACTCAGAGCTTGCTGAAGCATTTGTTCTCCGTGAAGGTATTCGGCTGCTCCGACGTTGTGGTTATGTTAATGTGGTGGTGGAAAGAGACTGCCAGAATGTCATGCGAAGGTCCCCTCAGGCTCCCCTTGTTGCAGTGGTCCTTGAGGAGTTTCTCATATGCTTAGTGTCTCTCCTGGTTTTGGTCTTGCTTGGACCCCTAGGTCTTGTAATGGTGTCGCTCATGCTTTGGGTAAACATGATCATTTCTCTTCCTGGTTGAGTCTTGTTGTTTTTGTTTTGTGGTATCATTTCTCTTCCTGGTTGAGTCCTATTGTTTTTGTTTTGTGGTATCATTTCTCTTTCTGGTTGAGTCCTGTTGTTTTTGTTTTGTGAAAAAAAAATAAAAATTGAATGAAGAAGAAGAAGATGAAGAAGAAGAAGAAAAAGTCTTCACCTACTTTATTAAAGAAAAGACACTTTTCTCTTAATTTCCCACTTGCTACTTTCTGCCAAACAAAAAATCATCACCACACGTCACTCCCCACCACCCCGACACCACACAAGCACACAATATATTATGCATGCATATTGGAGTATGTTAATAAACAAACTGTTTGCATTAACCAAAAAAATATTTATCTTAATTTGTGAACTTGTTTTCTTTTGTTTTTCGTTTTTTGTTTTTTGTTTTTATTTTTATATTTTTAAATTTTTTGATCAGCACAAAATTTCATGAAATATATGGACTCTAAACTTTAATATCGATTCAATAAATATTGTTCCATCCCATTTTGTAGGGTCAATTGGCTACCATTTTAAACCGCGTTGGCTTCAGCAGCAATGTTGATCACTAAGGTTTCATTTGGATTAAGAAAGAATGAATTTGAAATCAAGTAACCTTACATAAGATGATATAATTAAAAATATATATAGAAGAAATATTTTACCACAATCAATCAGTCCTCAACTTAAATCAGCATGTATTTCAAATACCTACTTATGATGGCTTGTTATTTGAAATCTACTATAATTATGATCATTGTTCATCTTAATTTTTTTGTCGGCATGTATTTCAAATAATTACTTATCACCTGCTATTTGGAAATTATAAATATAATTTTGTCAAATTCATCAAATTTTATTTCTCACCTAATCAACTATAAATCTATTCATTTGGAATCCTCGATGGATCCAACGTTTGCTGTAGTGTGATGCATAGTAAAAAAATGGCAAGTACTGTACATTCTGAATTTTAATGCAGAGTGTATTTATTTATTTGAATTCATGAATATAATTTTAAATTCTTTGACTGAATCAAGTAAAATTTGTATATTCTTTTATGTATATATACATAATTTATTTTCAAACTAATTTTCGCAATACAATGTTTGTCATGCATTACTTTTGTGATGGACTCTTTGCCTTTTTGGGATTTTTCTCCGCTACTTCCAACATTACAAAAATTCAAGCCACGGTTTCTTTTACTCGTTTTCCTGTGAATATTGCGGCGTTAGACGCCCTTGATTTTTCTCCTTTGACCCTTGTAGTGGTTGAAAAAAATTAATGTAATCTTTGAGTACTCATTGCGCAGCAAATCTTTGGAAAATTTCCTCTCACCATCTTTATTTCTTATAAAAAGATCAAATACCAAAAAAGCTTTTTCTTCCTTTTCTTGTTTTTCTGGGAAAATCCCTGTAAACCTTAGCCAAAAATTAAATAAATAATAATAATAATTTTCTAATTTATATGAGAAGACAGGATTGAAGTTCCAACATCACTACTAGTTTTTCTTGGCTCCGTGTAAATGAAAGAAAAAACATAACACTAAATAATAATGTGATAAGACTTACAAATTTATGTGAATTGGGAGTGGAGCTCGTCACCTAATGTCATGTGATAAGAGTTACACTCACCATGTCATTAGGTATGAAAGAAAAAATTTGAATCACACTCTCACCATGTGGGTAGGTATGAAAAAAATAATAATAATAACTGAAATAAATAAAATAAATAAATGAATTAAATAGTATTTAATTTAAAACTTTTGTAATAGTCTATTTGTCTTATTTACTTATCAATATACATATATATATATATATATATAGAGAGAGAGAGAGAGAGCCCATTTGTCTTCCCTCCTCTTTTATGCCTATTATAAAAATAATAATAATAATAATTATTCATTCCTCTTATTATATTCACCCCTCAACCTTAATTCTCAAGTAGCAATTTATAATCATTACAGGTGTGTGTGAAATTTGAGAAGGTATATGGATGTGGAATACAAAAGTCACAAACACTGTGACACCGTTATGCATAGAACAAGTTTCTTTCTTCGGTTGCATTTTACCATAAATAAATACAGTAAAACTTAAAACTAGCAAGTTACAATTAAGAAATTGTAAGAAATTTGGAGCAGTCTATCAAGAAGTCTATAAATGAAGTGGTGTGTGAAAAAAAAATGCCTACCATAGTGTTCGCTAGTGATTTGTAGTAATTAATTATATTTTGGATTACAAAAATTATCAAAACACATCAGGTTGGTGATTGTTAGGTGTAGTGTGAGAAAGTTGGTGTCTATTCAGCCATTCAGGTAAGGAGGTGTTTGGGAATGGTTATAAATGAACAGACACAGCTATTCTAAATCATTACATCCTAATTGAAGTAGCACACCCAATATGAAAAGATGCTTCTACACCTAAAAATAATATATATATATAATAGTAACTTTTTAATTTATATGAGATGACTGAATTATCTTTTATATCTCACCTAAATTCATGCCCTAGTTTTTATCTGCTCTTTGTAAATAGAAAAAAGCGCAGCACTAATGCATTTAATGACAACTGTGATTATTAGGCCTCTCCAAATAAATTTTATAAACAGCAAATGTCTATGTAGTCTAATGAGTTAGTGATTTCGGTGGACTTTAGAATGCGAAGTTTCGACTTTTACATTTACTAATCTAACTTCTTAATGCATTTAATGGCAATTGTGATTAGTAGGCCTCTCCAAATAATTTTATAAACAACAAATGTTTCGATAGTCCAATAAATTAGTGATTCCGATGAAGGTTCAAGTTTCAAGTTTCAAGTTTCGACTCTTATATTTATTAATACATCTTCTAATCTTTTTTACCTTATCAAAAAAAAAAAAAAAAATTAAAAACACTAATTTTGAAAACGTCAAATCAAATTTATGTACGTATGAAAGAGAAAATTTAAAAAAAGTTTTGATTGGATGAAAGCTGAAACATAAAAGAATAAAGTGCTTCCATAAATTCTTGACCCAGTTGAGTCAACTCAAGTCAATCCAGTACAAATTAAAGTGAACGCACTGTTGTGCGTGTATCTTCCTCTTTATTTCCACTTTCTCACCGCATGTGACACACAATTGTTAGTGTGTTATTAAAGCAAACACACCGACAATTGTGCGTGTTTAAAAAAAAAAGCACTCATCGAGTCATCACCAATTGATAAGATCGTAAATAAATCTGTCAATGGATGGATAGATCAATCAAATCTATATCTTATTTGTTAAGTAAACAGATTATCGAATTCGGATCACTAACGGATTCTCGGACTGAATGTCCCAATCCATATCCTATTTAACTCGGACTCAGATCGAATTGGGTTCGAAATCGGATTAAATTAATATTTACTAATATATAGAATTATAAAGAATATGATTTTATTAGTATGTGTATTAAGAGATTTACTAACATGTGAATGAGAACACCACAATATTTATATATAACATTATTATTATTTTGAATTTTTGAGTTACCTTTAATACAATTCTAATAAGAGTATTGATATATATGTGTGTAAAATTATTGATAAATAATTAAATATATATAATTATTTATATATATAATTTCAATCGGATTAGATCGAATTTTTATCGAATTGGATCAGCATAATCCAGATCCGATTTGTTAAGTTAACGGATTATCGAATTTTTTGTTCAATCCATATCCGACTAATCGGATCGGATTCGGATCAGGAACCGCTCCATTGACAAGTCTAGTCGTAAAGCTACTTTTCTTTTCTTCTTTTTTTTTTTCACTTTCTACTTTCCGTAAAAAAATAAACAAATAAATAATCACCATATGTCACACACCACACACAAAATATTGTTCCTCTCTCGTTCCAAAATAAATATCAATGGTATTATTTTTGAGTAAAGTGCAAAAAAAAAATTTAATAATTTGAAAGTTTATAAATAACATATTTTGTGTTCAAAATTCAGCCTTAGTACGAAAAATGAGCAAATAAAAACTTTTTATCAAATAAATAATAATTATTATTCATTTGAATTTTAAAATTCATTAATTCAAATGAACCAACGTGTTTCTCGTGTATTCTGTATTATATTTGGAGAATGATTTCCTCTCATCCATGCCCACCATCTTTATTTTTTATAAAAAGATCAAATACCAAATAAGCTTTTTCTTGCTTTGCTAGGAAAGTCCGTATAAATCTGAGCACAAAAGCGTGTTAATGGTAGAAAAAACAATATAGTTCTAATGTGTTCAAACAATCATTATATGTGGAAAGTATATGAATGTAATGGATGCTTTTGAACCCCAAAACATTTACTTTCTGCCAAAAAACGCACTCATTTACTTTCTGCCAAAGCCTCGTCACCACACACAATATATTGTTAATAATCAAAATATTTTTTTCATAATTAATACTCACACACGCATGCCTCGTGGTGAGGCTTAAACCCTTAATCTTTTTTTAAGAAGTAAAGATATGATACCACTAAATCACTGACTCATTGATAATAACCAAAATATTTAAATGTACCAAAAAGAAAACTACTCTCACATCTTAACTTCTTTCATATATATATATATATATATATATATAAAGAAAAATTGATCAGCACAAAATTACATGAAATGTAATCGAAACTTTATAATCATTTGAACAAGTATTGTTCCATCCCGTTTTGTAGGATTAATTGTATCATTCTTTTAATTAGAAAACCTAAGTGTTGCATTCATCCAACCCATCTTGTTACCATCTCAAACTTGGAGGACAATGAATTATAAATTAGAAGATACTAATACAAACTCCTGAATCAAGACCTACACTACCATATACCATTGGTTTCACCAGATGAGCACTATGAGCATCTTCAATGGTTAGTTTTATATATATATATATATATTGTGTAAATAATAATAGATTTATACAAAAAAATTTGAACTAATTATTTTTAGCTCCAATCATTATTTTATACCTTTTGTGTAAAATATATTTGTCAATAATAATCAATCACATGTCACACCCAAGACCTCACATAATTTTTATAAACATATCATCTATTTTTTTAGACTAATTATTTTTTAGCTCCAGCCATTGTTTTATAGCTTTTGTGTAAAAATATATCTGCTAATAACAATTAACCACGTGTCATGTCCAAAATCTTACATAACTTTTACAAACTTACTTAATATAGGATTAATTCGTTAATAAAATGAAAAATAAGGAGGATAAAAAAAATATACTAGGTTGATTCGTTAATGGAATGAGAATAAAATATGCTAGTGTGGTTGTGTAAAAAAGTTTGTATTGCAAAATATAGAACAATTTATCTTAAGTTGTGAACTAGTGAATTTCAGAAAATGAAATTAGACTTCAAGAACACTACTCTCACATCTTGCTTATTTTTTTTAAGAAAAATAGATCAGCACAAAATTACATGAAATGTAAGTGTTCATCCATTACAAGAGGCATAAATTAATAGAGCATGTAAAAAGGAACCCAACATGTTTGTTGTGATCATCACGTGTTTCTCATTATATGTGGCTTTTTGTAATGGTCTCAGAATGACTGTTGTGTATTAGGAGTAGAGGTTTCTGTTATTAAAAAAAAAAACTATATGACAAGTTTTCACCAATAGGAAATGGTCATGTTTCCGACCTGTTTGAAATCGGAGGAAGAAAGTGGTATGGTAATTTATTATTATTATTATTATTATTATTATTATTATTAATAAAAAATCAACCCATTAGTTAGTCGCTTTGTTTTTGAGAAATTACATTATATGTGGCTTTTTGTAATGATTTCAGGAAGCTATTTGTCTATCCCAAAGGATACGGAGAGGCAAAAAAACAAATACAAATAGTTATTTCACTCACAATATCAACTAAATAAATTAATATTTAGATTATTTTAAAACGGTTCATTTATCACAAATCCTTGATACCTGCTCTATAAAATTCTTTTCAATTGAAAAAAATGATTTCTTATTTGATGGCAAAGAAATCTAAAGAACATACATCATTTTTGTATTATGGGAATATAAATCAACATTATTTAGGTTCATTAATAATTGTATCATATTACAATGAAGACTTTCTACAGAGTAGCTACAGTATGCAATTGGTTTCTAGCTCTTATTAAATGATTTCAAATATTTCAACAGTACAATTTTAAATTCGAATAATATATTATAATTCCATATAAATCTTTTATGTTACATTTAGGTTATTTTAAAAGTAATGAAATAGTTTCTGTTAGGAACCAAGCGATGGGATTGACTAAAAGCATTATTACCTTCAAAATATTTCTTTGAACAAATAAAAGATCCCACGTATGAACAACACAATAAAAAGTAAAGTAAATAGCATGTTTCAAGTGACTTAAAGACCAAAAAAAAAAAAAAAAGGTATAGCACATACAGTAGCATATAAAACGACAGAGAACCAAAACTAAAGCAATATTGAAAATAAACATTAAGAATATTAGGGAATTCAAAAGAAAAGTTTCAAACTGATATAATGGAATTTTTGTTTGAAACAGTGAATAATGAGAAGAAAAAAAATGTAATCTTTCAATTATTGGTATTCCGAAAATATATATATATATATATATATATATATAAAATATTTTTTTCACTCCAGTGTCAAAACAAATAGTGTTGTGATTATAGTCAAAATCTTCCAAAAGGATGTTGTAATATAAAAAAGGGTGAATTACATTAAACCCCATTTTTCTATCTTCTATCTGTGTTTTGCACTAAACTCCCCTTTTTCTATTTTTTTGTTAAAAAAACCCCCTCAATTATTAGAGGGATGTGATTTAACTAACTTTCGTTAACTAATTATTAGAGGGGTGATTTAATTCTCAAATATATATATATATATATATATATATAGCAAATAAATTTCAAGGAAAAAAACCTAAATTTATATTGACAAAAAAAAAAAAGACATTATTTCTGGTAGTGTCCCTTTAATCTATATAAAATGAAAAACAATAAAAACCAAATCAATGAATGCACAATATAATTCTCAAATATATATATATATATATATATATATATATATATATATTTGAGAATATATATATATATAGCAAATAAATTTTAAGAAAAAAAAAACCTAGATTTATATTGGAAAAAAAATCATTACAACAACATATACTCTTCTTCTTGTTCAACTTCTTTTATTTACCTATCATTATAATGGTATATATAATATGTATCATTAAATATTATTTAAATATATTTTCATTTCCATCTAGCCTTCAGACAAATATAAATCTATAGTTTTTTTTTATTTAGGAAAAAAATCTAGGTTTTTTTTTCTTGAAATTTATTTGCTATATATATTTTTGAGAATTATATTGTACATTCATTTATTTGGTTTTTATTGATTTTCCTTTTATATAAATTTATTAAAGGGACACTATCAGAAATAATGCTTATTTTTTTTTTTTTCTAATATAAATCTAGGTTTTTTTTTTCTTGAAATTTATTTGCTCTATATATATATATATATATATTTGAGAATTAAATCACCCTCCTTTAATAGTTAGTTAACGTAAGTTAGTTAAATCATCCCCTTTAATGGTTGAGGAGGGTTTTTTTGACAAAAAAATAGAAAATGGAGGTTTAGTGAAAAACACAGATAGAAAATGGGAGTTTAATGTAGTTCACCCTATTAAAAATTATATGGACTCAAAAAAATTCATGTGTCGAATGGTAATAGTACGCTATGAGATGCTTCAACTACGAGAGGCCTGACACTGTAGTTATCCAAAAAAAAATTGTCTTACAAGTCCCAATTAGTAACTAATTTAATCAAAATAATATCTCTAGTCTTTGCTCAGCCTTTTGAATAGTCTGACTTCAATTGATATTTTTCTCTTAGGGTGGGTTTTTCTTCTTAATACATGCCCACTTTACCAAAAATAAAATAAAAAATCCGATAACAATTACTAGTACAAGCCAACTGCTTAAGAATTTATGCCAAAATATCATTCATGCATGCATTATCTTAAATGTTTTAATTTTATACTTGTGAACAATTATTAAAAAACACTACCTTTTGCAACATTATCTTCTCAAGAAAAATGTCCAAAATCACACGATAACATTAGGGCAAAATTAACATGCTATTTATTTGAATGTGCCCAAGTGAAGAAGAAACATAGCGCAACACACAAAAGATATATTGAAAACAAACCTAGACATGATGGCAGCTGGTGGAAACTCCATGCTAGATCTGAAGTTATTTTCTTGTTATACACCACCATGAATGATCGAAGATGAGGTCATCAAATTTAGTTTCTTCGCCCGCTCTTTTTCTTCCTTCCCTGCTTCTTTTGATTCCTTCCAAAGGTGCTGATAAACCATTCATGATACCTTGTGGTTAGAGCGTTCCCAACGATCAACCCAACTACCAACCCACCTCCATACCCCATGCATATCACAATCCAATCACTTTTACTAATTGGAAACCATGAATGATCATCATCTTGCTCGAATTTTGAACTTGGTGATGCTTCGAAATTGCCACATTTCTTTGACAATGGGTCTCCACACAATCCTGAATTCACCTCATATGAATTGTTTTCAAATGTATTAAATTGTCTTCCTCGTGGAATAAGACCCGTGAGTTGATTATGAGAAACATTGAAGAATTCAAGGAACGTGAGTTGGGTTAGTTGCTGAGGTATCTCTCCTGACAGCTTGTTTCGAGAAAGGTCCAACGATTCAAGCTCTGTTAGATTCCCCAACGAAGATGGGATCTGACCAATGAGATTGTTGTTGGAAAGATTGAGCATGTGAAGACTCTTAAGAATCCCAATAGATTCCGGAATCTCTCCTTCAAATCGGTTACTTGAGAGATCAATTGCAGTGAAGACATTTAGGATATACAGGTACACTATTTCCACACCTTTGTTGGTTAGTGTCAAGTTAACATTGTTGACAACAGATACTACACCCCCAACATATGTCAATTGATTTACATCAATAGTTTTCATGGCTGTCCAGGTATGGAAGTAACCGGAAGGTAACTTACCGGTGAAACCATTGTGAGAGAGGTCAAGAATCTGCAATTTGGGGAAGGCAAAACTGGAGTTGGGGTTTAATATTGCACCATGGAATCTATTGAATCGCAAAATGAGAACCTTCAATTCAGGAAGTGTTTTAAGCCAAAAGGGAAATATATCATTGATGTGATTGTTCCCAAGATCAAGACTCTCTAGAAGTGAGCAATTGACCAATGATCTCGGCACTGACCCTTGCAATTGGTTTTGACTCAAGTTGATCATCGTCAGTTGGGTTCCATTGTTGTACGTTTGAGGAATGGGGCCATGTAATTTATTATTTCGAAGATTCAATAACTCCAGAGAATCAGCAAAACTGCCCAAACATTGGGGAATGATGCCACTCATTGTTATAAGATAAATCCAGGACACGAAGAGAACTCGCATTATAGAGCAGTAGTGGGATCTCACCAGTCAGTTTGTTGTTTGCGACATTATAAAACAAGGTGGATAATGATGGGACGAGGAGTGATCCTTGCAGCATGTTGGAACTAAGGTCTAAATTGCCTAGTTTGTCCCACGGAAGGACTAATGGAGGAGCTTGGTGAAAGCCAGTTATAAAATTTTGAGAAAGGTCAAGGTTTTCCAGAGTTTGTGTACTAATTAGGGCTGCAAATTGGACGGGCTAGCCCAGCCCAACCCAACCCCAATCCAGGAATTTTGAAATTTGGACACACAATTCACAAATCGCGTTCATGTTCGGGTTGAGTTTAATCAAAACCCAGACAATTCGGGTTGGGCTCGGGCTCAACTCGAACCCAACCCAAAACCCAAAATTATTATTATTATTTTTATTCTTCTCTTTTCTCTCTCCTCTCTCTTCTTTCTCTCTTTCTTTTTTCTCTTTCTCTCCGCCCGATTTTTTTTTTTTTTTTTCTCTCTCTCTCTCTCTCTTCTTTTCTTTCTTCTTTCTCTTTTCTCTGGCCGTCCCTTAGCCGATACACCGCCACCGCCACCACCTCCAAAAATAAAAACAAAACCCATACATACAAGTTAGCAGTTGCAGAGAGAGAGAAGGGAGCAAGCTTGAGAGTTGAGAGAGAGGGGGGCAAGCTTAAGAGTTGAGAGACAGCGGCTGAAGCTTGCGAACGGCGAACCCGAACTGGAACAGCCGGCGATGGATGGAAACTGAAACATATGGATTTTGATATTTTGAACAATCTGAAATGATCTGAAATATATGAGTTTTGAACTTTTGATTCTTGCAGACAGATCTGAAATATATGGGTTTTGAACTTCTGATTCTTGTAGATTTTGTAGTTTGAAGTTGCAGAGGGAGAGAGAGAGAGAGTTGAGAATGAGACTGGACGATTGGGGAGGCTGAAATGATTTGCCCTAAATTTTTTTTGTTTTTTAATAATATATAGATATATCTATATATATAGATATATAGATATATAATATATATATTTTTGAAAAAAATATATATATAAATAAAATTTTAAAACTCAACTGGTCAACCCGACCCGATCGGCCCGAAAATATTTGGGCTAGGTTTTTACTATAACCCATGTTAGGTACAATTTGGGTTGACCCAACGCAACCCGATTCGGGTTGAGGTTGGGTTGGGTTGGGACTGGGTTGGGTTGGGCCAGCTCAACTTGTAGCCCTAGATCTAATGCTACGACATTGTAAATTTGGCTTTAGGATTTAAATGGCATCTGAAATATATAAAATTTAGGAGAAAATGTCATGAAAACTTGAGTTGGTGTGGATGGAAAATTTTGGTAAAATGACTAAAAAAATTACTGTTTTCTACTATTATCCATTTCTGATCAATTGTATGCAGGTTCTTGGAGTAGAAGATTGGAGACAGATAAATTTTGGCATTACTTTTGCACAAAGTGGCTTCTCTCACACTAGAACCCATATTATTGCACTTGTCAATCCAAAACTTTACTTTAGATTTAATGAGTTTTACCCTAATTTAGGTTGAAGCTGGAGTTATCATTGTTTGAGAATTATGTTAGGTTGTACATTTCATTGCATTTTACATTATCTGATGCGTCATCAAACTTTTCTAAATTGTCACAAACTAATAATTGTTTGGTTCATTTGTTTTGGTGATGACTCCATCTTATCTCCATCATGATGCTTAGTTCAAACTATATAGCATTACCTAAAATGCTATAGAAATAGAAAGGAATAGATTTTGTTGCGGAGTTGAAGTCACGGGTTGAGAATAAATACCATGTTTGATTAGGTATTATTCACTATATTCGGATGGAAGTTGATGGTGTTTTTGTAGTACATTTGATGTGTGTCCGGGACTTCGGATGACCAATAGTGATGGGATTTTTTTATTCTGTTTCCATGAAATTTGAAAGCACATGATTTTTTAATATGGAGTTGTTCTAGAAAATTGAGTACTTTGGATTTACATACTTTTGGAACAAGGTAATGCCATTGTTTTAGCTTTGAAATAACCGCATTTCATCACATGTGCAGAGGATTGCATTTCTAGCTAGCATTGTCTGATTGCCCGACCTTGATGCTGTGTACTACAATTGCTTTGTCTAATCTTCTTCGTGTGCTTGGTTGTGCATGTGTTTGGTTGCTGCTGTGTACTGGGATTGAGCTTGAGCTTGAGCTTGGGGTCATTTTCTCAAATTTACAACTGGGTTCATTGATCCTTGTTTGGAGTGAATTGGACTTGTGAATTGTGACTTGTACTTCCCATTGCCAACATGTTGTTATCAGCCTTGTTATTTTAGAAAGTAGTTCAAATAACTAATACAATGTGTAAACTGTGTATTGATGGATGTGTTTCAGATCAGTGGCAATGTAAAGTTCAGATTAGTCCACAATATGCCGACAATGTTGTAAATTTATTTTTCAGAAAGCAGTTCAAATAAATAGTACAATGTATTTTTCAGATTATTGTAATTTTTTTTTTTTTGGATTAGTTTATGTCATTTAAATAGTAATTTTCAGACTTTGGGCCAAACACACAATGACATATCCTGAATTGAATTAAACTTGGACTTCTCATGATTGCATAAAAGTTCTATTGAGATAAGTAGTACTAAAAACACTATTGTTGGATTAAAAATACATTAAAAATATATTCAGGTAACAAAATTAAAGCAGATTATTGCAAACAATTTGTAAACAGGTTATTGTAAATAGGTTATAAAAAAAAATTAAAAACAATGATAATCAAACATGGTTTTTTTTTTTTGCCAACAATTGGAATAACCAAACATGTTTTGTTTTCAAAGTTCTTGAAACGCATGACCTACCAAACATGTTTTGCATGTTTCTGTTTTCAACATTTCTACAGCAAAATATCGTTCCCAAACATATTTTCGATTTTTTCCCAAAACGCTCCTAAAGCAACAACACTGTTTCTGTTTTAGCCAAAAACAAAACGCATGCCAAACGGGCCCTAAAAACATTTCTTATAGTTTGAAAAGTTTGTAAATAATATCTTTTATGTTCAAATTTCACCTTTAACATAAAAAGTGAGAAAATAAAAACTTTTGTCAGATAAATAATAATTAGTAGGCAAAAATACCAAAATAACCTCCACTCTACTCATATATAAAATAAAAAAAAAAAAAGAAAAAAAAAAGAAGAAGCTAGAAGATAAAATTACTTAAAGGAACAAACTCAAATGATGTCATTTGAGTTGTTTTACAAATGGAGCGCCACCTGGAGCAAGGAGGAAGCCATGTGATACAAAACAAAAATAAATAATAATAAAGGAGGAGAAATATTTTATCACAATCTATAAATATAATTTTCCTCAAATTCATATATATACATATATTTTTTAAATCCTCTCAAGTTCATCAAAATTTATTTGCTACATAATTAAATTTAAACATATTCATTTGGATTTTGGAATCCACCAATTCAAATGGAACCAGCGTGTTTCTCATGTACTCGGTATTACTTTTGGAAAATAATTTCCTCTCATCAGTATCCACCATCGAAATAAGCTTTTTTTTTTTGCTTTGCTAGGAAAGTTCGTATAAAGCTTAGCCCAAAAGCGTGTTAATGGTAGAAAAAAAATATAGTACTAATTTAGTAATGTGTTCAAACAATCATTTATATGTGTGTTAAATGTAAGAAAGTAAATGAAAGTAGATACAAAATAAAAAATAAAAAAAATAATCACAAACACAATTATACCTCTTGTAATGGATGCTTTTGACCCGAAAATATTTACTTTCTGCCAAAAAAATCGCACTCATTTACTCCAAGAATACTCTCACATCTTACCATTTTGAAATAAGAAAATTTTTTTCTAGCGTGTGTTTTCAATAACTACTTATACCTTGTTATTTGAAATCAATAAATATAATTTTCGTCAAATTCATATATATATTTTTTATATCCTCTCAAGTTCATCAAAATTTATTTGCTATATAATTAAATTTAAATATATTCATTTGGATTTTGAAATTCACCAATTCAAATGGAATCAACATGTTTTTCATGTACTCCGAATTACTTATGGGGAATAATTTGCTCTCATCCAGTACCCACCATCTTTATTTTTTATAAAAAGATCAAATACCAAATAAGTTTTTTCTTGTTGTTTTAGGAAAGTCGGTATAAAGCTTAGCCCAAAAGGGTGTTAATGGAATAAAAAAAAATTATAGTACTCCCTCCGTTTTATATTATTAGTCCATTTTTTTCTTTTTACACGTTCCAAATTAGTTGTCTTTTTTAAAAAGTCAAAACAAATAAATTCTATATTTTCATCATTGTCTTTTATCTTTTAAAAAAAAAACAATGCATTAAATGCATGTGCTCTTAAAAACTCCAATTTTTATATATAAACCTCTAATGTAGGACAGAGGGAATACTATTGTAGTAATGTGTTTAAACAATCATTATATGTGGGTGAAATCTAAGAAAGTAAATGAATGTAGAGAATAAAAAATAAATAAATAAATCACAAACACAATTATACCTCTTGTAATGGATGCTTTTGACCCCAAAACATTTACTTTCTGCGGAAACATCATCACCACACATGACACACACATGATACTATTCATGCATATTATTGTTAATAACCAAAATATTTGAATGTACAATTTATCTTGATTTGTCAACGAGTGGATATCAGAAAATGAAATTAGACTCCAAGAATACTACTATCACATCTTTATCCCGTTGTTGTTGTTGTTGTTTTTCTAAGAAAATGGATCGGCACAAAATTACATAAAATGTAATCGAAACTTTATAATCATTTGAATTAGTATTGTTCCATCCCATTTTGTAGGATTAATTGTATCATTCTTTTAATTAGAAAACCTAAGTCTTGCACTCATCCAACCCACCTTGTTACCATCTCAAACTTGGAGGACAAGGAATTATAAATTAGAAGATAC